GCTAAACCTCAGTAAATCAGCAGTGTTTGACATACTCAGACCACTCCTTCTGGTAGCAACACAGGAGTCATCTTCATCAGGTTTAGTTGCCTAAATGCACTGAGTTGCTGCCATGTGATGTTTTTTTAAATTTATTTATATTTTTGTATTTCCTCGCATTTTCATAGATTGTCTGCCTTTTCCTCCAGAACCTTAACATTACTCTCAGGATAGCATTTGCTTTATATTTGCATCTGTTTTACTTTTCTTGAAAAGTAAAAGTAAAATAGTGTTGTTTTATAAAATTTAGTGCAAAACACATTATATCACTTTGGGGTACAGAATCTCTCAATCTGTGCATATCTTTTGTTATTTTTATTCTGAACAGTGAAACTAAACATGCTTGCACACAATAAATGAGCTGCATAAACAGCCTTCTGACTCTAATTCATAATGCAACAATATAAGATTTGACCTCATTCATAACCCTGACAGATATCCGTGTTAAGATTTATTCCAATTTGATCTCTAAAATCATAAAGAGCCGGGATTTTCGAAATGGTGCAATTTATGAAATTGTGTCTGCCATCTAATGATAATGATATTTATCACATTAAATGGTTCTGCAGATGTGGAAGGATTACAGGAGAAAAAAAACTACATTTAGTTTCCTTCGGTTGCAAGTCTTTCCCCTGCAGCCAGACTAGCTAAAGCTTTTCTTTCATTTCAGCAGCTTTCACTTGCATCTCAACCCCCTCTCCTCTCTGTTGAATTATCTCTAAATTGGAAACTGAAGGGATGAAGGAACATGGGGAATGAGGTGGCCTTTCTGTTTCCACCCCACCATCATGCTTTTACAACACATGCATTTGTGCCCTACGTATATTAAGCTGTAATGAGAGTTCATGCAGTGTACAGGGATCCATGTTATTTATCTCTGGGATCCAGACCTGGCCTCTTTAATAAGCTTGGTGCTCCCAAATCCACTGTGCCCTATTAGCACTCTGAATCAGATTTGGGCTAGGGGAGGTATTAGAACGCACTATACCTCCTCGTCATCGTCAGAAAACAGGATGAAGAAGGAATGTCCTGGGTTTTAATGTCAGGCCCTTCCTCTAATAGAGGCGTCGGCATACGGGGCAGATTTATGACTGGCACGCTGAGGGTGAAAGTCTGATGGGGGGGATGGACGAGGATATCTCTGTGGAGAGTCACTCCCCTTCTCCCTTTGATTTCATTCTCTCCGTTCTCTTTCTTGATGTTTTCTCATTTTACACCCCACCTTTCTCTCTCACACCACGCAGAGCTTTGTTCTCTTATTCTGTTGGCCTTGGTTAAACAAGGCTTTTAGCTCATTGTGTCTGGGAATCAATGGTTACCTGCTTTAGCGCTGTAACAGTGTCAGGATGCCGTAAACATGGCTGAAGCGGTGAAAGTGAGGAGATGAATGAAGAAAACAACCAGGAGATCAAAACAAAAGCAGCATTAAGCAAAGAGAATGAAACAGTGAAAACCACCTGCTAGTTGGACCCATTAGCTGATGTAGATGGAGAGGCTAGACTGTAAATCAACCCTGCTAATAAGCTGCATTTGCCTAACTTGCTCACATTGACATTTGTTTGTTGATTTATTTAGTTTTTCAGCCCCGGCTCACCAATGTGTCCCACTAATAAAAATTCGGAGGAACCGGTGGCGCCAGTGTTCAGCATTCTTGCCTCTCAGTGCGCCCCAGGGCAGCCGTGGCTACATTGTAGCTCATCATCACCAGCGTGTGAATGGGTGGATGACTGATTGTGTTGTAAAGCACCTTGGGGCTTGTTGAACCATATGAAAGCGCTATACAAATACAGGGCATTTACCATTTTCAGTTGAGGCTCTTGCATTACCCGTTGCTTGCTTTTTAACAAGTCTTCAAACAAGATTGACCCCAAGATAGCATAAAAACTGAATAAAGCTTTCATTCCATGTTATCTTTCAAGACACATTTATCATTGCATTTTTGTGTCAAATGAAGCTGATGTACAAAAATTCAACAGTTAAAAATACATCTAAAATTACAACTTTAGTCATACAGATGACCGGTTGCATCCAATCAAAATCCTCACATTACACCCCTCACCTCACGTTGTTATGAGAAGATCCATGTGTTTCCATGGCAGAGCACAAGTATTCCCAGTGATTTTTTAAAACAATATTTTCTCACCTGCAGCAGGAAAGTGACCTCCCAAACACTGTTTCCTTGTAAACATGCGACAGAAATGACTCATTTTCTTTGGTTTACAATTGCTTATGGTAGAAATAAGTGAGTCACTATATTTGACTGTTTATTTCTCTCTCTCTCTCTCTCTCTCTCTCTCTCTCTCTCTCTCTCTCTCTCTCTCTCTGTGTGTATGCGCGCGTGTTTTCTCAGAATATACTGATTCTGGTGGTCGGAGCCTATACCAATTTCTAACTCTTGAACAGTTCTGACCAGCATTTTCAGCTAATTCCAGTTCATCTGGGGCAGCAGTAGCTCAGGTGGTAGAGCGGGTTGCCTCATGATCGGAGGGTCATGGGTTCGATTCCAGCTCCCGCCAGGGGTATCCTGCTGTTGTGTCCTTGGGCAAGACACTTCACCCAACTTGCCTGTGTTAGTGGTGGTCAGAGGGGCCGACAGCGCCAAATGGCAGCCTCGCCTCTGTCAGACCTCCCCAGGGCGGCTGTGGCTACAAGTAGCTTACCATCACTAGCAGTGTGTGAAAGTGTCTTTGGGTGTCTAGAAAAGCTGCTATATAAGTTCAATGCCTTATTATTATTATTATTATTATTATTATTATTATTATTATTATTATTATTATTATTATTATCTCAGAGAACTAAAATTTATAGAACTTTTTTAAAATCTATTTTTTATGAACTCTGTTAAACTGGATAAATAAAACTGTGGTGCAAAAGTCTATTTATTTCAGTAACACAGCTTAGACTGAGAGACCTAAAGGCTTATGGACCCTTTGCAGGTGTTTTGGATTCATTAGCTGATTAGAATTAGAATTAGCTGAGTCTAGAATATTGAACCTTTTCACAAAATTGTAATTGTCTGAGATTTTGAGTGTGGGGTTTTCATCAGCTGCAAGCCATAATCATCACAATTACAACAAATAAAGCCTTGAAATGTCGTATGTATTTGTTTCTTCTTTTAAGTTGAATTACTGAAATAAATGAACTGTTACACCATATTAAAGTTCTTCATATTTCATCTGTATTATAAAAGGTCCATAAAACAGGAAATAAAGGATAAAAGTGATCATTTCTGTGTCAGGCATTATTGTTGGACCAGTCACGGAGAGAGCCACAGGCTATGGATGACCCAATTAAATACTTCAAAATCTGTCCTCCATTCAAACCTGGTGCTTCGAGGTATCAGATGGAGGTGTTTCTGGGGAACTTATCAGTAATACATTCTTGATGTTCTTGTTTCACTGCTGAAAACCAGAATTCTTATTGTTATTCGTCATGATTGCAGTTTGAAGTGTGATTTGGCCTCATTTTACCCAGAAGGTGGTTAAAGTGTAAAATATTTGTTTTGTTCGGTATTTCTGGGCCTGTGGGCACAAAACAACATTCCACACAACACATCACTCCTAACAGACACTCAGAGGTGGGGTTAGAACAAACAAGGCTGGACTATCCTCACTCACTTCCCTCTTGGTGTTGCTGTTTATTTTCACATCCACACCCTGTATTTTTAGATGAGCCACGAATCAGTGAGGACTACCCTGCCCAGTGTGGTTTGGCGTTGTAGGAGGAGGCTGTTTGCCACACACAGAGTCTCCATGTTGGTGCTGGCAGGGTGGTTTTGGTCAAAGCAAGCTCGAGGGGCAGCACCCACCCACAGGCACCTGGGGAGGGGGAGGGGGATGCTGAAGAAAAAATGGATGGGCTTAATGTCAAACAGTCACTAGGCACACTGGACAGATTTATTCTGTTATGACTTTTGTTTTGGCTGTTGTCTGTAGCATTCATTGAGCTGTAAAGCTGAATATTGTTAATATTAATGGGGACATGAAGGGGAGTCTGGTTGTTGGGCTGTCTGGTGTCTGGGACGTTGGACAGTGGCGGTTTTATGTCTCCAGTCTGAGTCAGCACATAGAAAGTGCATCTGGCACACATACAACTGCAGCTCCTTGGACTCGTAGGAGTTAGAGGAAATAAGGAAAAGCCTTTTAGAGATCGTCAGAGATCTTTCCCTTCAGTTGTTACACACCAAACATTCCCCGAACTGCTGACTGTACTCGCTTTGTTCTGTAGGAGAACGCGTTTAAAGGAAACCGTAAGTTCCAGCGTCGGTGAAACCCACGACTTCGTTGAGCGGAACTCATTAAAACAAGTCGCTCCTGGTTAATTTATTGTTTGTGTGATTTTAGCTCACTGATTTTATCACTCCACTCGGTACAAAGCAGCATTCACAACCATGAGAGGAAGAACATTGTGCTGAGAGGGCTGATATTTTCCCAGGTTGCTTAAAATGTTTCCTGAGATGTTACATTCAAGCTGTTGGAACCAGTTGTTAGCTGAGTTTTTTTCTTACAATCCTTCCTTCTCCAACGTTTATGCTTTAATGTGAATACATGAACTAATATGCAAGAGGAATTAATTTCATGTGCGCTAGTTTCCTGAGCTGCATTAATTAGCTTTGGAAATTAACTCTGTGAGACTTGGCAATCTTCTGAGAGCATGAAGGCAATCTTCTGAGAGCATGAAGCCAATCAGCAGACGTAGCACACGACTCCCCATGCTGAAAGCTCTAGAACAAGCCTACGTTTTAATAATTTACAGCCCTGAAAAGGCGATATTTGCTATTAAATGGGTGATTATTGAGCGATTATGTTTCTGTATGTTTTTTAGAATATGTATAAGTTATATTTAGAGTGTTTTAGTCGTATTCCCTAGAATAAAATCCAGTCATAGCAAATCAGAAAAGACATCACTGAAGGCAAGCTGAAAAAATTAACACTCAGTCGTTTTGTTCTCCTATATGACAGATGGTCATTTCACCGGGACGCCTCCATCATATGGTTTCGATGCTGACCGGGCAGAGGAGCAGCGACGGCACCACGACATCCTCCCGTACATCGACGACTCGCCATCGTCCTCTCCTCACCTCAGCTCCAAGAGCCGAAGCAGCCGGGACACGCTCTCCTCTGGATCTCTCGAGTCCTCCAAGTCGGTCAGTGTGCCACATTGTCAGCACCCATCATGAGCTAAGAGTTCTTTATGCTTTTTTTTTTGTTGTTGTTGTTGGCAACTTCGTAACCCCAGAAGGAAGCAGAGACTGAGTCAGTCTACTTGCCTTAAAATAACCGGCTTTTCCGAGAAAGGGCATTTGGCTGAATTACCCATCAGCCCCATCACTCCGTCACTGACTTCCCTCTCCTCCTGCTTTGTGCTCTCTGTGGAGAGAAAACCAGTGATCTATACCAGCCGCTGCTCTTCAGAGGGTGCATCAACGCACAAACCACGAGAATAAAATTAAATATGGATTCTGTACCAATCTACACCTGTGATCCATTTTTAATCCAGTTTTGTTTCTTGCAGTATATTTTCTCTCTCATCAGGCTGTTTATATCAGACATGTTGTTGCATCAGGTAGAATCAAGGAGGAAATCTGCTAAAGTGGCTTTTGTCTGCAGTGCCCTTGCAGCCTTTGCAGAATTTTAGTCCAATGGCGATCTTTGCAAGAACTGGAGACAATTCCCCTTTCAGTCAGATAAAAAAAATACCCATAAAGGGCTTCCCTAAACATACACACATGGGATATGTATGAATTCTTTTTGGTTGCTAACGTTTAGTCTTCAGGATATAAAAAAGATGTCGAATCACAAGTGAAGATTTATTGAAATATAAAATTAATAGTACACCTTTAAGCTTGGATTGGTGATCCAGTGGGTAAGTAGCCAACAGGGGTTCAAATGGCCAGACTTTACAGTAACTTTATAGATTTTGTTTCTCTTTCAGGGAAAAATAAAGTTACATCTTAAAGACAAAGGCCATGACTAACTACATTATTACATTACACAACAATGGGATAGACCGATTTATCGATCAGCCGATATTTACCATTTTTTATATATCGGCCAATATTTGCATTAGTAAAGCCGATTTTAAGTCAGGCACACCACCTAGAAGCCTCCTGTGCAGATTTTTATTTAAATGGATTTTTACATTCACTAATAACATCTGCAAAATAAATACTCTAAATTTGCTTTATTTAGGTGTCTGACTTTAACACTAAGTGGTGGCCAAAGTTAAGATTTAACAGTTAGTTAAATTCAGAGTACAATAACTGATTCAGCTTCAGAAATTTTGTGCATCAAAGGATGTTATTAGTGACATTTTAGCATGAAAAAAAGATGGAGAATGTCTAGATGTCAGCCATGGAAATCAGCCCATAAAAATAAGCAGTACACATCGGCCGTGTACGACTGACCATGCCTCCTACGCATCGGCATCGGCAATAGGAAAACCAATATCGGTTGACCTCTAAACAGCAGCATAATAATAATTCATCCCCACAGCCAGACAGGCCTTCAATAGCTGATATTACTGTCCTTTATTTGCCCTCCCATCACTCCTCCTCAAACATCAGTCTCTTATCTGTGAGTCAGAATCCAGACATGCTGTGGTTGGTGCAGTCAGAGCTGATGGTTGGATGATGTCACTGTGATGAGTCATCACCAGCAAGGCTGCTTTTTTAAATTTTCAACTCCTCGTTTTTGTCCCAGTCTGACTTGCTCTAGCACCAAAGAGGAAATGATTAGAAGTCAGCCACCATGATGGTTTTGTTGCTGCCATCTGTGCATTTATGTAAATGATTTCTCACTCTTACAAAAGCATGTTTCTTTTTGAGGTTTATTGTTCCTTTAAGGCTTTAAAATGTGGCTGGCAGCAAAGGTGTTCAGACAGATTTAGAGCCCTGATGTAAAATAAAACGGTTTGTATCTTAAGCATCGTGCGGCCATTATTGCCCCACCACTCACCCTGAACTTCCACACATTAAAGCAGACTGCTGTTTCTCTCCTTCCTGCTCTGTCAGCACTAAACCACAAAATAATCAGTGCTGGAAATCAAATCTCCCTGCATGGCTTGGCACTGTGCTTATTAGCTTCCAGAAAAAAATAATTTACACAGACACCAGCACTGCCTTTGTGTTTTACACCCAACTAAAATGTAGTTTAAAGGGACATTTTTAAGTATGTTTCTGTTAAAGCTTTAAATAATTAATGTCTTACCCGCTTTCTGAAAAGCCTCTGTTTGTAGAAATAGGGTTTGTGACATGGCTAATCTGTGCACAGCCAAGACCAAAGATGGCTTTTTTTTTTTTTGCATTGATCGGTGTTGGAATAGCTGGCCAAAATCCTCTCCTGATCTCTATTGTTGACCTACCTTCTGTATTTTATATCAGACACACAATCTCTGGTGTTTTCCCAGGCCAAAGGTAAGAACTCTATTATCTGTGTCAAACTGTCACTCTGCACTGTGATCATCTACAGAAACTCACATGAACAGATCTGAGCAACTTTATTAATGTTCTGCTTTTGTGACAGAAAGCAAAAAGGGAAACAAGATTCTGTGCTGGGAGACACCTCATTTAAAATTAATAGATATTTTTTTATTTCTGGTGAAATTTTGCTATGAAAAATTATGGTATGTGGAGATTACTGGTAATAAAAACACTTGCATAAAATTCAGAGAAGTTCTAATTACAATTGTTTTGTACTTTAAAAGTCCTAATTATGAAGTAATAATGTTGTTTGTAACTTACTAGCTATTTACTTAAAGAGAGGACAATGCATATTTATGAACAGCAATACAACTAAAAATATACCAGATTGTAAATTTAGGCTAATTTTCATCTGTAGTCCTCTGGCAGGTTAATGTTAAAAGAGATAAGACAACAATATACATTTAAAAAAAAGAAAAACTGTTAGGAACATATTTTTACATACAAGACATATAAGACAGGATAAATCATATTGGACATTTCAGGAAGTCAGTGACTGCAGAACATGATGCTGCAAAGAATATTGGATTACAACAATTAGAAAAACCTAAATAAAAAAATACAGTTACTTTTATAGGTATTGATTTTCATCCTCTCTTATTATGTTCTTACTGTTTTATACAATTAGACATAAAATCTTCAAAAATTCATGAGAAACTTTGTGATTAGATTCAAATGTAAGCCCCCTGAGCTCCGTTGTTGTGCCTTTTTTGCTGAGTCGTACGCTTCTGTGAACAAAGTTCACTCGGAAACAAGTAGAAAGCAAATCAAACTGCAAAGAGGTCCTGCCTAGGTGTGTGTGAGTTCAGGTCTGCGAGCTGAGATATGCAGACAGACACCCCCTCACCATGAACCCAGAGATGGGCTCATTAGTTGCCAGGGTGATGAATAAAAGATGGTACGTCTAGAGATGTTGGTTCTTCCTCAGGGAGTCGTCTGGGGTCTGAAGGCTTGAACAAACCCTTAATGTCTCCTTTCTGCTCACGCAGAAAATGTCTAGTCGGGTGTTAAAGTTTCCTCCTTGTTGATGTGAACCACCTTTTTTTCCCACAAGGATTTTCTCTAAGACGGATGCGTTGCTCAGCATGGAATTTCTTCCATTTTTAATAATTTGCTGCAGGCTGTGTGTATGAGGTGACGGTTGTTACATTTGTGTGATCAAATCATAAGTGCATTACTTATTTACTTCAGAAACACTTAAAGTTACACCCTCAGGTGGAACATTTTTCTGTTTTACACATGCTAACATTTAAAGGGACTATAAGGAACTTTGACAGCCAAAACATGTATAGAAATAATAAATTTCTTCTTCATACATTCTCCCGCAATGCCCCGGTCCTGTAGAATGAGCCCTGGCATTTTTACTGTGATCGCCTGTTTTTCTGTACAATCACAGAAAAAGAGAGAAGCTCGGGTCGAGCAGGCTGCTTCATGCACGTTCACGCCCGTAGCTTTTGCCATCTGTAGTTTTAGCAGCAGAGAGAGAGGCAGTGCCAACTCAGCGACTTTATCGCTGTTCCTAACGCCTAGTGACAAACCAGGCTACATTTCTGGGGACCCTTAGCTACTTTCTATAGAACTTTCTTCTAGATATTTCCTGCAAATTAGCAACAAAATAGCCATTTTCGCTCGAACTGTTCTTTGGATTGATGTTGTTTCTGCTGTCATCAAGGATATAAATGTTACAGATACACTTAATGTTTAATGGCGCTTTAGCTCACTGAGTAAGATGTCTGACTCTCATGCAGTAGACCTGTTTTGGATTCTGGGTGTGAACATAATTTATTTGGAGTTTCTTTTTTACATTAATGGTAAATTTTTTAACAGTAAGACGCCCAAATTTTTATTTGAGACTCGCCGAACGGCTTTGAATTCACAGATAAAAAAAGATGTAGATTCAACTTTCATTTTGGAACAATTTTTCAAGCAAGGGAAGGGAATGATCTGAGCATGCAGGAAGACTGACCCATCATAAACCTTTGTCAGCTGTGCTGAAGAGAAAGGTACAGAACCAAGTTATTTTATTAATTAGCTGTGTGTTCTCCTGTCCTCTGTCCTCCGGGACATACACACACACACACTGCACGTTCGGCTGGCCTACGAGAAAGTACAGCTGCAGAGACAGAGGCACATTATTTTTATTAATTTGCTGTGTTCTTCTGTCCTCCGAGCCACACACACACACGGGACTGTCTCAGCTGTTATTTTCGTTGAGGAGTGTGCACGTACAGCATGCACGCCTCGTGCACGAGCCTCCTATTGAAGCTGCCGTTACGCTTTTGGCCTGAGGGGGCAATCGCGAGCATAAAAATTCAAAAGTCCAAAAACTCCCTTTAAAAGTTGGATTTTGCTTCTACAGATATTATTTATCTCATAAAGCTAAATTATACAGATCTATTATTCAGTCATCTCTTTAAAGGAACTGGACAAAGAATAAATGCAGAGCGAAGGTGATAAAGCAGCTTTATCCACACAAGAAGAGAAAGGAAGTGTCAGCTGTGTTTACTTTCAGTGTGTAGTTAGTGCTTTCGGAGGCTAAACCTTGTAAATGAATCAGGTTGCATTTGTAAAGCGATAAAATCTTAAGAAGATTGATAGAAGAAACCTTGTTAACAACCTGTTAATGTGTTGTACGTTTTCTTGGCTGCTTGACTGGATGAATATATTTATTTATTACTTGATGAAGATAACATGTTGGGTTTAGGGCCCTGTGGAAGTAGATTTAACAGACCAAATTATTTGAAACGATGATCAGGTCTGTTGCAGCTTTTTTGAGTAATGTACATTTTATATATTTTATATTTTAGTAATAATAATAAACAGAGAAACATTACTTTCATCATAAAGATTGGTCATTTAAAAAAGTAAAGCAAAAAAATCTATCTAAAATAATATTTTACAGCGTACACTGTAAAACCTGGTTGGTCGACCTTACTTGAAAAAAAAAACGTGCAAACCGATTGCACTTGAATTGATGAGTACACTAGAGGAGATAATTATGTGTTGGAGCCAGTAATGCTTATAAAGTGAAATGCACTTTGTGTACTTTGTGCTGGCTTGTCTTAGTTATAGCAGCTTGAATTTAAATGTACTAACCCTTACTGCTTTCCCTCCTGACCTCGGTTATTAACAGAACATGTGCTACTACATGTAATAAAACAAAGGCTGTATAAATATAGTTGAGTTTCTGATGCAAGAATACATTTGATAAAACAATCTCATTATCTTTTCTAAAGTGTATCCGGAGGAGATGCACTGACACATTTTACATGACTAGCTCTAGATGCTAGCTTTTATAATTGCTGTTTAAAGGTAATTTGGAAACTAAAACTCCATTTGATCTCAGTGGATCATAGATATTGTATTTAGAATGCAACTCCTCACTCTACATTCATATGAGTTGCAGTAGATGAATCAAGATGCACACTGAAAAGGCTGTATGTAAGAACTGTGCATTACTTATATGCATTGTAATAAATGTTCAGACAATTCAGTGGCTAAGATGCACAGAAAGAGAGAGCTGCTATCAGATAGCATGTAAATGCAAAACAGTTAGCATTAATGCTAACGTTCAAGAGGTTATAGTCATGTTACCATTCATTACTGGACCTAATCCATGAACCTTGTCAGACGTGGGATAAAAATAATAAACATGATGTGAAATTCTATTTGCTTGTTGATATCTGGCAATCTGGGTGTAAAATGTTAACCTGCAGAATATTTCTTGTGAATTAAGGTAGCTTGAGTAGTTTTTCCTACATTATCATAATAATGTAGTCTTGCGCAATGACTAAGACTCATTTAAAACAAAGGACTAAGATAAAACATCTGGAAGATGGATCAGTAGAACTTCTTAGAATAGCAAAATGCTACTTCCAGGAATTATTGTGTGAGCTTTTACAACAACTTTTACAACAATGTTAGTTTTACACCATATCGCTGTTACTCTTGCTAGTTTAAAAAAACATTACAGTAAATGTTGTTACCTGTGGAGCAGAAAGCATGTGAGCTCAGCACTACTCCTCAGATGTTGATGGTCCTTCAGTTAATTCCATCAAGTGAAGGCAATGCTGATCTTAGTTTTCTGGCGCAGCCGTTTTTGGATCTGCTCAAGGTCCTGCATTTGCAGAGATTAAAGGTAAACTACACATTGACACTTTAAAGGCTGGGGAGAATGTTTTGGGCCTGCAGACCATCAGCACCGGTTCCCCTCAGGGCTGTGTTGTCTCCTCTATACTCTTCTCCCTGCACGTCCAACCACAAGTCTGTCAAGCTTATCAATTTTGCAGACGATACCACTGTCATCTGACTCATCTCTGATGAGGATGAGCCTGCATACAAAAATAAAGTCAAACAACTGGTGTCCTGCAGCCACAACAACCTGGTGCTAAACGCACAGAAGACAGCAGAGGTTGTTGTGGACTTAAGGAAGCACACAACTCCACTCCCCCCATAACCCTGTCTGACACTCCCATCACGGTGGTGGACTCGTGTCACTTCCTGGGCACCACCTCATTCTTAAATGTTGTTTTACACATTTACTTCTTCACTTGTTGCTAGTGATGAAAGGGAGTCTGATGTGCTCATTAGTTTGCTAAAGTTTGCACTCCCCCGGGCTTTTTGATCCTAATGGGCATCTGTTGGTAAGGTCTTACTCCAACACAAAAAATAAACTGATTGCTTGCAACAATTTAGGTATCTACCTTCCCCCTATCGCCAGGAAAAATACATACTGTCAAATATATAGTGAAGGTGTCTTGACACCATCTTTACTAATAAAGAATACCTTTCTGGTTCCCAGAGGGTTTCATAACCTTCTGAGGCTGAACAAGTCCCAGAAATCTATACCGGCATCCACTCATCCAGTGGCCATGGAAACGGGGTTACACACACATCACTCTGTCATTAAAACAAACACATGAACACCCACAGATGTCACAGCTCTCCCAGTACATGTATGACTGTAAATGCAGCTTGTGAGGGTTCTGCATAACATTACTGTGGCACATTTATGCATACTTGGAATTCACTGAAGATTTATTATGTAGATGTAGGAGTGCAGGTGGTTTTACACACACACACACACACACGCACGCACGCACGCACGCACACACGCACACACACACACATGGATAAACTCAGTATATAAATAAATATAAATGATATTTTTCCTTGTTAAACTCTTACATTATTTGCTATGTCTTCATTCTATTTCTGATATTTTTAACCTTCTTCATCTCTCTGGCTGTTTTATCCTCCTTATTTTGGCTGGTCCCTAACATGCTCATATTTGTACCACAACCCTTTTTTCCTTCCATGGGAGACCCTGTCTGTTTAAGTTATTTCAGAGTTCGTGGTTAAACAAGACAGCCTGAGGAATTTCTCTGTTTCTGTTTTCTCTCATGTCTGTGCCTCTCTGAGCTTTGACTCAGCTGAAGGGGAACAGGGAAACTGCTAGGGAGTTGTCTTTTTTGTTTGTTTGCTTGTTTGTTTCAAATATGCATTTGTTGCAAAAAGCTTTCCTTCAACCATTTCACAGGGAGCCCCAAACTGGACACCACTAATTCCAGTTTTTTACTGTTTCTTTCCCTTACAGCATCTAAATGAAACACGTTTTAAATAAAAAAAAATGAACACATTTAGAGATTCTGCGATAAAGTAATGTAGAATAGAAGGGAAAAAACTAACTATAGGGGCATATTGTTGAAACTCTATTATATGTATTTTTACAGACTGAATGCGACTTGGAAAAAGGTTTGGAGACCAGGAAGTGGGTCTTGTCCGGGATCTTGTCCACAGAAGAATCATATCTCAGCCACTTAGAGGCTCTGCTGCTGGTGAGAACACACACTTTACACATACCGTAAATCCTCTAATACAGGCCGGTATTCAATTAAAGGCCGGCTCTCCAATTTTGGCCGGTGTCGGAGTTATCGGAGGTAAATAATGGCCGGTCTCTTATTGTGGCCGGATGGAAGTGGTAACAAGGAGGTAGGGCGTCCCAGCGGCAAGGTTATAGTCCCCAACTCAACCAGCAGAAGACAGTAGGGGTTCACGCGGACCTGTATTAAGCTTTTTCTTCAACGCTTTGTAACGCTACAGACACGATCCTCTATCATGCTCCTACCACACAGAGTCACGGTGTCAGTTAACCATGCTAATTCAACCCGCTCCACAGAACACACATCACCTTCCCTGTGGCTTACATAACACTCACACAACAAGCAAATCAGCACATAGGAACTAGCAGAACGATAGGAAACACATATAACACAATACCCAGAATGCACCTGGCTTACGACCCCAGCCAGGTCATTACACTATCAAGTTCAAAGATAATGTGCTGATTATGCTGCAGAACACTCTGGAGAGCAGCAGTAGGGGGTGTATGAACTACAGTAATCCCTCGTTTATCGAGGTAGATGCGTTCCAGACCTGGCCGCGATAGGTGAAAATCCGCGAAGTAGGGACTCCCAGCATGCCCCTCGCGGGGATTCCCTCCACATCGCATCTACGTCACAAACCGCGGCTATAAACGGAAGTCGCCTTTCCAGCTCAGTCATCGTTTCTTCAGATTCATGATCAGAGTTTCCAACCTACCGATCAATCCAACGAACTATCAGCTCATAGTAAGTTATCTTACTTACTTCTGGAAAGCCCGGCATTTCCGTGTCACTTCGTTGACGCTCGAATGCTCGGGGGTTTCCTAGAGCAGCCGACGTTTCACCAACGCTCTCACTTCCGCGTCTGTGAAACCACGCTCCCTATTGAATTATCGTATGATCACATTCTCTGTGATCAGCAACGCGCTGTGCCGGACCGTAGGTACTGACACGCGATCGTTCATGTCGGTTTATTTCCTTTAATGTTTTCTGTCTTTTATTTGCGCCTGATGCGTTTGGCTGCATGCTGTGGAGCGGGGCGCTGCGGGCATCACCTTGTCCTCCGACGCACTGATCACTGATACGGCCGCCAAACAGCAAGCGCTCCGCTGTTTTTGCGGTCGGTAGATCTTTTAGAACTGCAGTTCAAAGGTAACTCATAAGGTGAATATATATGAACCCAGGTAGCAGTTTTTCTTTAGGATTGAGAGGAGATGCAGGAAGATAATAAACAGGCAGGACAGAAAAATAGTCAAATAAAAACAAGTTAGTTTTTGTACCTGGTGGTTGCAACAAACAGACACCATTGAAGGTCATCAGAAGTGAGGAACAGAAAATGAAATAATTATTTTAATGTTTAGAGCAGCAGGAACTCTGAGAGGCTGCAGGCCATCAGTGAGTTTGCAGCGCTGCGCAGGGGGAGGGGGGAGAGGGCTGAAGCAGGAACTACTGTTGTTAAAAGAAATGTGTTTAACTTTGAAAATGTGGGCGCACTTTTAATTGTCAAAAACTCCAGCGAACCATTAGTTAATTTTGCTCAAATAGAAATAGAGGCCTGCCTCTAATACTGGCCCTCCTTCCAATAAAGGCCTGGAGCTTGATGAGCTTGAGTCAAATACAGGCCCGGGCCTGTATTAGAGGATTTACGGTAATATACACACACATTAAACACTTAATACAAACCTTCCTCTGTACATGAACAAAGCAACACTGATTATTGATAAAGTTGAGTCATTTTTGACTCAGTCATTTGATCTGTTGTCCTTCAGATTTTCCTGTTTTGATTTTTCAACATCATGTCCATAAGGGAAATGCAGGTATTCTTAAAAAGTAGACATTTTGGGGAGAGTGGGATGCATTTGATCACACGTTTGACATTATTTAAATTGATTGCCATTAGGGTTGCACAATACTGGATAAAATTCACATTGTGATTTTTTTTCTAACCCTGTGATAAATTATGGCCAAAGTTAGGAACACTTTCCTTGAGTGACGTCACTTTTGGTTTCCAGCAAGAGGCGTTGTTTTTAAGCAGATTAGCTTGGAGAACCTAGTTGGAACAATAATAGGACCTTTTATTTTCAAATATCTTCCTTTTTGAAAATGAAAATATAAAGTTTAGACCTGTTACAATATAAGGGCTTCAACGTGTGTTTAACGTGAAAGATGCACTTTAAATATTAAACATTTTTATCTCAGGAAAACTTTGGAATTGAGCATTGGGGCATGCAGTGTGAACACACACACACACACACACACACACACACACACGCACACGCACGCACGCACGCACGCACGCACACACACACAGCAATCTGGGACAATCTAGAATTTTCGGTTTTCTCAACGTGCATGTTTTGGGTTAGTGGGAGGGAACGGGAGCACCTGGACCTTGACACACTTGGGGATTCAAACCAGCTGGCTCTACCAACAAAGCTCACTCAACACCAGATCACTCTACTTTAGGGGAACGAGCATTTCTTCATGTTTTCTTGGTGTAGCCACTGAGTTAATGTATGAAATTTGCTGTCAGGTTTGTTTTCCTTTTTCATCTTTAGACATTACCAGAATGAAATTGGCTTTGTCAGGCTTTATTGTACCGCAGGAACATCTGTTATTGTGTTTTTCTCCTCATTTATTCATGTTGAGTTTTTTCTTGAATATGTTCCTTGTCTCCATGGGCTGCATGTTTGCTGCTTTAACTTAATTCATGCAGCTATTGCTGCTATAATCTGATTAAAATTTTGCTTTAGGTTTGCAAAACATCTTCCTGTAAGGCAGCTTCAACCCCTTTTGCTCCCCACATTAATGAGCTTGAAGGTCCGGCAAAGCTGCGCTTTAGAGCGTTTTTTTTTACTTACTGTGTGTTGGCTCCCCTGTTTGTTCCTTCCAGCCCATGAAGCCTTTGAAGGCAGCTGCTACAACGTCGCAGCCTGTGCTCACTGTGGCCCAGATAGAAACCATCTTCTTCAAAGTGCCTGAGCTCTACGAGATCCACAAGGAGTTCTACGACGGCCTTCTGCCCCGCGTCCAGCAGTGGAGCCACCACCAGAGAGTCGGGGATCTTTTCCAGAAACTGGTGAGAAGTGTATGTGCGTGCATGTGTAAAAGCAGCTAAATGCACAGAAGACAGCCAAGTGTGCCTTTAATATGTGGTCAGCTGGTTTGAAAACACGGGCACACAGCAAGGAGGAGGGAAAAGGTTTGTTTATTAAAACGAACAGGAGGGTTGTTCCTAGTGTCCTTTTAAAGCGACAACACTGGTCAGGCCAAAAGTCTGTTCTGGATGTTCTGTGGCCTTGTTCAACATAATGTTTGTTCAGTCAGATGGCAGCTATATTTGATCCACTCAATTAAAAAAGGGAATAAATTAAATATTTTTTTATAAATGTTTCTCTTTGGACTAATTGAATTTGTATTCCCTTATCTCTCTCCCCATTTCCGCCTAAACAGCTGCTCGCTATGCTGCACCACCGCAGTTTCTTCTAAAGAGAGTCAGTGCCAAATGTACAGTACACCGGTTCTATTTAATCATTTTCACAGCGGGTCAATTAACTCACAATGAATCATTTGTTAATTCTCTGAGAAACGCTGCTTCTCCTCTCCCACTGCTGTCTCCCATCTCACACGCCATGCCTCTATCCCCTCTTGTAGACTCATTTATGCTTCAGCACACACACACACACACACACACACACACACACACACACACACACACACACACACACAGAGGGGGGTGCAGGGCTTCACAATGCCCCCTTTCTGCCTCAGGCAGCTGAGGCCATCACAGCACTGTGTGCTTTGTGTCTTGAAGAAGCTGCTATAAATAGGAACCACTTTCTACACACACACACACACACACACACACACCCACATGCACACACAGAAAATCTTATTAATTTACCTCGGGAGGCTTGCTTTGGGCTCCAGATGAGAAGTTTGAATTTAATTTGTATCCGTTGCCTGCAAATGTGCAGCTGCAGAAAAATGTCAGTTGGGATCCAGTGGGAGCAATCATCATATTAAAGACAGATTTTACATTTAATGTAACTGATGCAGGAGCCGTTTCGAGCAACTATGATGAAGCGCTTGTGCTGTACGGGTATGGTGAGTGGAGGGGTTGCTGACTGTCAGCAGCATCTGGGAGTGTTTGCGCACATTTAGCATGTAAATTGTAACAGAAGGACGACACACTTCAAAATCCGAGAGTTAAATGTGTTAGGCAAATTAAGGGGAACTCTGAATTTTGGTTCTAGAAAAAAACATTTATTTTGAAATTAGAATTTAGGCTTTTTTTATGTAAACACAGTTTCCTCCTTTAGGCTCTGTTGTTTCATTTACTAAAATACTTTTTCAGTTTTCTATCATTATCTGCTGTTTCCTCTTTAATATATCCTTTTTTGACACTTTAGCTTTCACACATTTGCTCAAACTCAGTCTTGTTCCTCGCCAGACTGTAGTTAATAAAAATCTAAAGAAGCAGATGCTGAGCCTACAAAAAGAGGTGGGAAAATGATGCATGACAGCCCATCCTCTTAAAGGAGGAGGAGAGAGATTAAATAGGAGTGGAGAGGTGATGCATATGAGTATTAGTGGGGGTAGGGATGTCGGTGAATGGATGGGAGCTGACAAGTCGAGCAGATTTTGACTGCTGCAACTCCGGTAGAGCCGTCTCACCATGACTCCAAAATTTGTGCTGGCTTAGGAGTCGTGAAACATCAGAACGGGGAAGATGAGAGACGGAAAGAAAAGAGCAAAAGGCAAAGTGTCGCTGACGGGGATATGAGTGTGAGCATCAGAAAGATGTGTTTGAAGGCTGGTAAATGGGGCAAACTCACAGTTGTGTTGCTGCAGCTGCAAAACACAAGCTTCAGACATGGAGGTCTGTTACACCAGCTTTGACTGTGTGCTTTCCAAAGATGAGACACACAAAAACAGCATGTTGCAGGGTTTTCATGTTGCTGATGTCGTGACTCGCCACTCTGTGCTGGACTGAAAGGGCTCAACTGGTTCAATAAACTAACAAAACAATAGTTTGTAGGGTTAACCAATCCCATCAATATTGAATGTTATAAATAGGCTACTAACTGTTGTTAGCAGCTTGTCACCAACAAATATACAGTCAGAGTTTCATCAAACTGGAACCAGTGATAGACCAGAGCCAGTTTTGTCTCTAACTGGTTTCTTTTGAAGAGCAAGTTCACTGAGATACAATATTTTACTCATTTATTTTGAAAATGAAAAACATTCGATTAGAAAAGTGTGACAGATCTACGTCACACTGTACCTTAGCATTCATGGACTCACCAGCCTTGACTCGTAACGGGGAAGGCTGTTGTTGGTTTAGTGTCCAGGAAACAGCAGAGAACATCTCGGCAGGTTGAAGCTAACCATCAGCATTAGCAACTCCACAGCAGGGCAGAACTCCTTCAGGCTTGTGTTATTTGTGGAGATAAAATGTCAACGTTGCACGTCAGTGGTAGAGTTGCGTTGCTGTTATCCAATCTGAGGTGAGATGTCCAAATATTTAGAAATAAATTCTAAAACCTGTTGTCTGAAGCTACTTTCTCCTCCTGCTGACTTCTACGTCCTCAAACAGGCACAGCTGAGCTTTTTTCCCTCTGAAAAAAATTACTTCTAAGGCATTTGTTCATACTAGAGACCACTGCAAGTGTATTAAAATTATGAATAAAGTTGACCTTTAAAGAAAAAATGTGACATGTGGCCAGTCAGAAAGCAAGGTGATGGAAGTTGCCATGCACACTCCTCCTCCATGTTTGTTTACTTTGAAGTCACATTCTATCTGGTGAGATTTCTCCTCTGAGCGGGGAATATCCATGAGTGGAAGTGGTTTGTGAGTAGTATGTAGCATTTGCTGTAGGACCAAAACTGGTATATCTGTGATTTTTCTATCAACACATACATTCACTGGCCACTTTATTGGGTACACCTGTCCAACTGCTTGTTAACACAAATTACTAATCAGCCAATCACATGGTGGCAACTCATTGCATTTAGGCATGTTGGTATGATTAAGATGATCTGCAGCAGTTCAAGCCAAGCTCCAGAATGGGAAAGAAATGTGATTTAAGTGACTTTGAACGTGGCATGGTTGTTGGTGCCAGACGGGCTGGTCTGAGTATTTTAGAAACCGCTGATCTTCTGGGATTGTCACGCACAATCATCTCTGGGGTTTTGGAGAACAGTCCAAAAAAGGAAAACATCCAGTGAGCAACAGTTTTGTGGGCAAAGATGTCTTGTTGATGCCAGAGATCAGAGAAGAATGGCCAGACTGGTTTGATCTGACAGAAAGGCAACGTAGCTCAAATAACCACTCGTTACAACCAAGGTATGCAGAAGAGCATCTCTGAAGGTACGACACGTCAAACCTTGAGGCAGATGGGCTACAGCAGCAGAAGACCACACCGGGTACCACTCCTGTCAGCTAAGAACAGGAAACTGAGGCTACAGTTTGCACAGACTCAGAAATCCGACAATAGAAGATTGGAAAAATGTTGCCTGGTCTGATGAATCTCGATTTCTGCTGCAACATTCAGGTGGCTGGGTCGGAATTTGGCATCAACAACATGAAAGCATGGATCCATCCTGCCTTGTATTATCGGTTCAGGCTGCTGGTGGCGTTGGTGTAATGGTATGGGGGACATGTTCTTGGCACACTTTGGGCCCCTTAGTACTAATTTATTATTGGTGCAACGCCACAGCCTTCCTGAGTATTGTTGCTGACCACATCCATCCCTTTATGACCACAGTGTACCCATCTTCTGATGGCTACTACAGCAGGATAATGCTCCATGTCATAAAGCTCGAATCATCTCAGGCTGGTTTCTTAAACATGACAATGAGTTCACTGTACTACAATGGCCTCCACAGTCACCAGATCTCAATCCAATAGAGCACCTTTGGGATGTGGTGGAACTGGAGATTTCCATCATGGATGTGCAGCCGACAAATCTGCAGCAACTGTGTGATGCTATCATGTTCATATGGACCAAGATCTCTGAGGAATGTTTCCAGTACCTGGTTGAATCAATGCCACGAAGAATTAAGGCAGTTCTGAAGGCAAAAGGGGGTCCAACCCGGTACTAGCAAGGTGTACCCAATAAAGTGGTTAAAAACAACCAAACTTAACTATATCAGTTTAGAATGATGATGTGGCTCCAATAAGCTCTCACGCTGTGGAAAACAAAAAGGTCCTTGGCTGTTTTTTAAGTAACCAGTTTAGAAATATTTATCACAAAAACTAGAACAGAGGTGCTAGCATGTAGCTAGCTACAGTTAGCTGTGGTTGTAATTTAAATGTTTTGTCCCCATCAGTACAAAAGTAGATTAAACATTTATCTTTTCTCTTTTTAAGAAAATATGTCCAGGAGCTCCAAAACCAAGTGTAATTTCTTCCTCTGTCTATAACCACTGGAGTCTGTCCCGGTCCTGTTTTGGTAACAAAGTTTTCCACTTTGGATCACACACCTCCTCTCAAACGGGTAAAATCTGAGCCGAGAAATCCAAACTCCTAAGCACTTTCTCATCGCTCAAAGCCATTTTCTGCTGTGGCGCTGTTGCTGTGTTGGGTGAGCTGTATTCATGCCGTTATGTGAGGCGTTGTGAATGTTGTTGGGAGGCATTTGGGCTCCCTGTTACCTCCGCAGTCTATCCGTCATGCTCTGGATGGCCTCTGCTGTGGTGAAGATTGTTTGGCCCAAGGGAGGACACAAAATTGCTAAATAACAAAAGCAACAGTATTTTCTTTTTTTACTTTCTTTTTTTCTCAGTAGTGTGCCAGACATCAATTTGGGACAGTTCTGCTGCTCGAGAGTTCCTAACAATTGATGCTTAGTTGAAAATGTTTACGGTCTTCGGTCTTGCCGTGTAAAGTTTATTATCCATGCATGTCGCTGAGCAACTCAAGGCTACATCATTGCTCGGTAACACTTCTGGAGCCTTTCCACTGGCTGTTTCTCTTGCCCTGGGCCTTCCGAGGGCAGATGTAGTACCTTTCCATCTAGTTTGTCAAGCTTTTTCTCTCATGGTCTGAAGCTTTTGTGGATTTAGCAAATTAGTATGCAATTTTTTATTTCTTGCTCTTTGTGATTGATGATTATTTTTCTACAGCTTTGGATTACTGGGACTGATTCTGGCTCTGTTGCAGAAATAGGAAATTAAAAAAGAACCCAGAACTGGTGAATATATAAATATGTTACACATGTTCTATAGCAGTTGTTCAGAGTTTGGGTCAGGACCCTAAACGGTGCTGTAGAGTGGTAAATGTTGTGCTTTTAAGCTTAATATATTACCTTTACTTATGGCCAATAGGCTGTGATACTCTATATAATTGTAGAATATCAACCTGCTTGGTCTTTGGATGTTTAATCAGAAGATTCTAGGATTCTTTGCTTTTTCAGGGATCAAACACACTTCGTCTCAATTCAGACAGAGTCAGGTTTATAAAAGATAAGAAATGTATTTTCTAAACAAATAAAAACATGACAAGTTAAACAGGACGACTGTGATGGATGAATCTAAGTGGATGGGATGTGATGTATGGTGATTTAATGGTGTGTGTTTATCAGAACCTTGTATCTAGAAGAACTGAGTTCTGGGTGTTCAAAGAATTTGGTTTGCATTAAACTATGAAGCTGGTTCTTATCAAAATTGCATCAGATGCAATCTGGCTGTGTTCTACATACCCCTGAGGAGACCTCCCTTTCGGATCTGAGATGTCGGGAGGGGTCGGGTGACTCCAAGGTACCGAAGTTGTAGAAAAGGCCGCAGTACAACCAGGTCGGTCCAGAGTTGTCTCCCGGATCACAACAGATAGATTAAATCATTTGCATCTAGAGCAGCTGTTTCTGAAAAGCTGAAGGAACCGTTTTGCTGTGTCAGCTGTAGGCAGCTTTTAGCTTGTCGAAAGCTTTGGGTTAAAGAGGGTTCGCTTTGGATGGCCTGTCCGTAGCTTTCTCTAGAACTGACTCACCATGTAGTGAGCTGTCTTTTAATATTCTCATATTATGATTTCTTGGCCAACCGGGACGTGCCATGTTAAGGGATGTTCACAAGCAAACCTCAGAACGTCACGCTTCTTTCAGATACAGGATGTTCTGATTTGTGGCTAAGAAAATATCTATATGACATGACGTTTAACGTAACTTTATCTCTAATGAACCTTGTGTCTGAGTGTAGATAATGATTCACTTGTTAAATCTACAATTACTAATCATACCATAATAATATTTATTTCAAACTTCAGTAATTCAAGCACAGATTAATCAACCTTATTAATTTAAGCACAGATTAATCAAAACATTATTGATCATTTCATATAACATTTGTTCATTCCATTTCACAATTGATTAACTCATATGAGCTGAAAATAGTCACTTTATTCAGAGGCATTGGGAATCCTGCGGTGTTATCAGAAGAAGGCTTTGTTTGGGAACACAGGCTGACATCGTGTTCCTCCTGAAACGTCAACAAGGTTTGCAGAACCTTGTTGCTTGTTGGAAGGTCGAATGGGAAATCCACCTTAGAAAATGGAATGCATGTCTTCCGGTGACCGGTGGGTTTTTAGGTGAAAACTGACCATTGCTGGACGTTACAGTGCATTGAAACAATCTACAGACATCAAGATCTGACAACAATTGCTAATAACCCATTGGGGAAAGCAACAGTAATAAAATCAGTAAATCAGTCGCTGAGGCATTTCTTTCTCTTTTTGGTGATATTTGTATTATTCAGTATGTCACAAGGTGTAATTGCCATGCTTTTTGGTAAGAAACTGAAGTTTTTGTGAACTTCTGTTCTAAAAAAAATATTTGTTTTAAGAAATGCAGTCCGTGAAACAACCTGTCTATAATAACACAGGCATGCCTCTAGAACACTACTGAACAGGCCAGTATCTCTGGACTGTGATTATGGCATCTAGTTGCAAGAAAACTGAGAAATTTGCAATCAAACTGAACTAGTAAGTGTGACATGTGTATGCCCCTCGTGGTCATAATTTTAAATAAATTGCAACAACTGTTCAAGTTCTCTTGATTGAATATAATCACAGGTCTCAAATAAGTATCTGTTAGTTTGCAATCTCCTCCTTTTATTCCAGATTTGGTTACCAACCACTCCCACATGTTGTCTTACTTTATTCTGCACTTTCCAACTTCCTAAAACTAAATAGAAAAGACGTCAAAGGGATTATCCTTTTTTGTCACTTTTATATGTTCAAATTTCAAGCAGCAGCAAGTTTTCCCAGATTTTTATTTATTTTTAGTTAATTATTTAAGTATTTTCAAAATATTATTGTAGCTGGTTCTAGCTGTGGGCAGGAAGGATCTTTTGTATCAATCTGTGTTGCAGCAAATCTGCAGAAGCCTCTGACTTAAGACACTCTGATGTTAAATAACTGTCTGGAGAAGAGGATGCTCAGGGCTAAACATCATGTTCTTGTATCTTAGCACTACTGGCTCAAGAGGCTCCAGAGCATTCCCCAGAACAGACCCAACCTGCAGCGTTATCTGCACCTTACAATCAATGGATGTGATGCTGCTGCGCTCTATTGTCCATCTCTGAAACACTAAACGTCTGCAAAGTCTTCTTCATATGTCTGAAATAAAAGGACTCTGTCTTATATTGAAAGTCTGAGTTGTGCTGAGTGAAAAGGAGCAGTGAGAGGACAGTGCCCTGTGGTCCTCCTGTGCATCTGACCAGCTGATCAGACACTAAACCCCTCAGTCCCTCCTGACTACTCCTTTTTGATCATAACTGATAGAAACAAACAAAATAAATCAAACCTCTTTACGGATGCTCATAAATGGTCTAAAATGCAGCAAATATGCAGCATTTCAGTGTTAACTCGTGTACAGGTAAGATGGTTAGAAATGTTTGTCATGTTAAGGGTGTGTGTGTGGGGGGGGGGCTCATGACGACTCACACAGAGCTCATCCCTGCTTCTCTGGCGGTTTTTGTCTAGAAGAATTGATTGTCCTTTTGTTCTCCGCTGAGATGAATCGCAGGCCTGACAGGCAGCGTTTGCTGGAATTGAATTCAATCATCCTACTTCCTAAATGTGCTATCATAGCCTCGGTTACACCAGTCATTAATTACTCGACCCCAGCTCAGTGCAGGTCTGGCTAGTTGCTATGGCAGCGAGCAGTAGGAACCACCGTTGTTAAACACCGTTGTTTTGATCAGTCTCTCTCCTCTTGCAGGTTGTTGGGTTTGATTATTTGCTGGCCATTCTCAGCCTCTCAGACTCTGCTGACTGGACTGAATCTCAGATATAAAATTACATCTCACTATTGCCTTTTGGTACTTTCAAGGTTGAAGTGAACTTTAGAGATTTACTGCCGCTGCACTAAAACCAACTTTTTTTCTTCCAACTAACATTTGACAATATGTTTTTTTATTTCTTCCTCCTTTTTCCCTGCTCACCATCAGGCCAGCCAGCTAGGAGTTTACCGGGCGTTCCTGGACAACTACGAGCTGGCTGTAGAGACGGCAGAGAAGTGCTGCCAGGCCAACACGCAGTTTGCTGAGATCTCAGAGGTAAAACCAGAAGAAGAGAGTTGCAATCCATGGTTGGGTCAAACCATCAACTTTAGAAATGGAACCAAATGCTTGACAAGCTGGTTGACACTCAGCTTTAAGGGGTTGGATTGTGGGTTAAACCATCATATAGTTCCGCTTAGGGGTGGGCAATATAAATGATATATGGTAGAAACGATATAAAATTGGGTAATGATAGAGTTTTGGGCTCTATCATGATCTCGCGGTAACACATGTCAATAAGATGTGCACCCATGCCAACACTGGGGCAACAGAATGGCAGTGACTGCAAGCATGGAGAGGAAGGAGGAGGAGCCTTCTTTATGGACGTCTTTATTCTGCTGCAATATATTTGCCATATGAGGATTTTTAAAAGCATGTCACTTTGACATATATAAACAGAGGAAAAAATATATCACAATAAATATTGTTATCGCACATGCTTCAGATTATATCACAATATAGATTTGAGGCCATATCGCCCAGCCTTATTTCCACTGCTGCAGCTCACCGCTCTCCACGGGGATGAGTCAAATGCAGAGATGTGATTTCACCAATGTGTGATGATGACTATGGACTTTAACTTTAAAGGATCTATTAGATTCTCACAGTTTGTTTAATCATATCTCATTTAAAGCAATAAACAGCCCCGGGTGTCTGACGATGACTCTCTGCCCAAGTGCTACCGAGGTTTAGCTCAAGGTTTTTTAGACATAGTTAGGACGTTTTTGTGCTGGCTAAGATTCTTCACTATATGAGCTAGCTTTAATTTAAATGACTCCAAGCAGTAGTTAGTTGTGGACACTCATCCAGTGAAGATTTTCTAGTAGTTTCACTAAAATCTGTTCAAGGAGCTCATGAGTACTTTGATAATGGAAACAAAGCTCTCACCCGATCCGTTTTCACGCCGAGGCTGTGATGGAGGTGACTCTTAGCTACTATGACACCAAATGTTTGCTCTATATACATTAAACTGTTTGTTACAGCTATGTTGATTAGCTCGACCATTTTGAATTGAGTTAGCTCCAAACATCCAGTGGTTATTTTCTGAGAGTTTCAGTTGAAAAAGCACACTCCCATTATACATCTGCACAGCCTTATCATTTGCATGCATTAAAATTTAATGTGCTGCTGAACCTTTCTATACAAACACAGCCAGAAGTGATTTAGCATAGCTCTTCTGCACTTGCAATATTGTTTGTTTGTTGCTTAAAAGGAAGAGAGCAGAGGAGCATGAGATGTTGTGAATTCTCTGTTTTCTCTCACCGAGGCTTGATCTCGTCCTCATCACAGATCAGCAGGATAAAAGCTGTATATATCCTGTATGTTTTATACATTTTTTACGAAACACAAGTTTCCAGCTACTAATCCTATGCTCGTCTGTTTGTACTGGTTGTGTCGTCTTTGGGATTGGTGCCTAAAAATAATCTGCACTTCCAGGTGTCGAATTTAATCCAACATGAAAGGAAACAGGATGAACTCGGGGATTGGTTTGTTAACTTTATGCACATTATAGAAGTGCAAATGTAAACTTGCTTATTTATTAATTGTTTAACCCTCCCACTGTCCTAATGGGTGACCCCGCGAGGAAAGTTGACTATTGAGCAGGGTTGGTGGTTTATTGCTTGGGTCCATGTGGCAGGAGTGAGCACCACCTCACCCCTGCCACATGGACCCAAGCAATAAACCACCAATCCTGCTCAATAGTCAACTTTCCTCGCGGGGTCACACCCATTAGGACAGTGGGAGGGTTAAATGAGTTCAAATCAAATTCAACTGTGTACGTTCTCCCCCCAGAGCTTTTTTAAGCCTGTGGAACCTTGTCATGGATTAGTCTTTATCTGTTTTTTTTAAGAGGCCGGGTCACCAGTGGGTGTCTACATGTCAAATGGGAAATTCATCATGGAGGGCTGTTAATGCTCTAAGTAATGATGCACGACTCTGAGCCATCTGTGGATGCTGGTGGTAGAGGGTGCTGAGGATGGCATAATTAATCTGAAAGTGAAAGACCTCAATGCTCAAGCAAAAAAATAAAAACTAGACCTTGTGATATTATGTAGCTTCCTGAGACGGTTTTTTTAGAGGTCTTTTTAACTTGTTATTAACTTGGCTGTGTGTCTAAACAGAACCTGAAGGTGAGGAGTCCAAAGGACTGCAAGGAGACAGCCAAGAATTCTCTAGAGGGTCGGTCATGGTCTATTATACTGTTTTTATCATTATTATTGCATGGATCGTTAGCTTTACACATCATGTGATAGTTCATTTAATTATCTTTTTCTCCCTTTTCTGTCTCATTCTGTTTGCAGCCTTGCTATATAAACCTGTGGACAGGGTGACTCGCAGCACATTGGTGTTACACGTGAGTAGGAGAGATTAGACACAAATAGGTTATTAATTCATTTTAAACGCCCTAAATCCATTTTTGGAAGATAAATAAAAAGCATTCTTTTGGAAGGATCAACTGCTACATTTTTTAAATATTCAGGTAAATATAATATAAATGTTTGCTCACTATTTGGCAGAATGCAAGTTATTATTGTTGTTTCCACTCATTGCATTTTGTCTGCCTTTAATTATTTATTATTTTCATTTAGAAAGGCAATCTTATCAAGTGAACTTCATTGATCTTTGTGTTTGTTTTTCTTACTGTCCTATCATCTACTTTTAGGATTTGCTCAAACACACACCTACCAGCCACCCAGACCACCCACTCCTGCAGGACGCCCTGCGGATCTCCCAAAACTTTTTGTCCAGCATCAACGAGGAGATGTCAAGGCGCCAGTCCACGACTGTCAAAAAAGGAGAGGCAAGTCTTCCAGATTCATTTCATCTGATTAAATAGACGAGTCTGGCTGGACCGCATGCATTTAGAATGCAGTGACTCAACAGCGTCAAGCTATTTAAATAGTACGTGCACATGTTTTGTTCTGTTTCATGATTGTATGAGTTAGCCAACATCTGCTCTGCTTCATCTCTACACCATTATGGATTGTCAAATCAGAGATATCGGGGGTTGCATTACTTGACAATTGCTATTAGGTGCTCTGCTCTAGAAAACATTATCATCTCAGATGTCACAAATCTTATAATTGGTTAGATTAAATAGTAAATGGTAGTCAAAGTACAGTTTGGTATTGGTGTGTGTATCACACAAAGGATAGAGCTTCCTCAGGGGGTTAACTGTTAAAAAGCAAAGCATGACCAAGTAAGACTGAAATAGACTGAAATGTATATTTACAGCCCAAACAACTTTTGAATGGTCTTTGAACAGATGAGATCAAACTGGATCTTTGTGGCAAATCACATCAGCTCTTAGTTTAGAGATGCAAAAGAAAATTTATCAAAAACAAAACCCCAAATAAAACAGTGTTGTACCTGCTGTGAAACATAGAAGAGGCTCAGTTCTGCTCTGGGACTTGTTTGATGCACGGTGTCAGAAAGCTGGGTCTCAGTCAAGGGCACTGTGTCCTCCAACCGAATACTGACCCCAAACACAGCTGGAAAACACCCAAGAATAGACTTTAATGACGTTTCCTCCTATAGCCTCTGATCTACAGTAAATCTCATTAAACATCTGAGGAAGATGCTGAAACTTGCCATCTGGAGAAATAACACTTCAACCCTGACACTGTGATGGGCTATGCTCCTTTAGCAGAAATAAACAAACTATTTTGTCTGCATCTTTAGGCTTTTCTTTTGTTGCGTCGTTTTATTTCACACCTGTTTATGATGGGATGATGATGTCATGAATGCACCTTCCAGCTGTGACTGAATTCACCAACAGGCGAGCGTGAAGGAGCCTCCAATCTGCAGCCTTAAGCAGAGCCCATGGCCTTATATGGTCATAGCAGGGTTTGCCTTGACGAGAGTGATTCTGTGTGTGTGCACTGCCCCTTACCCTCCTACTACTTTTTCCATCCCTGGAGATGACTTGATGCACATGAATGGATGCCTCTTGATTGATGTGACACGGCCATGCCCAGGGCCTTGTAATAAGCCACCAGTTCACTCTGACTGGCAGATTTCTAGTTAATTATTCATAATTGATGGGTGGGTAGAGGAGAGTCAAACAGGCCCCTCCCCCTGCTCACAGGGGGGTCATTACCACACCCTTTCCATACTCACACACACACACACACACACACACACACATACACTGGTCCGTATGCTCTTGGAATATACACACTTCCTTTATTATCCCTGCAGGCTTCAGTTTCCATCTCGGTCGGTCCGGGCCTTCACACCACTCATCAAATATTTATCATGGATACATAAAAGGGGCTCGTGGAAATCAATGGTGCTCATTATATTGTGCTTCACAAAAGATAAACAATAGGCCTGTGTTTTTTTTTTCCCCAAAGAATCCAATAAAGATGATGCCTTGGAGGAAACTTTTCCGCCCGAACATTTCTATTAGATTTGAGATCAAACTCACACTTTTTTAGTCAACTGTTTAGTTTTTATTCTTCGCTAGCTGACTTAGCAGAGCTAATGTAAGCTCTGGGTTGAAGGTCAAACTATTGCAGAGGCAAAGAAAGGGCCGTCGGTGCCCTTGTTGGAACAAACAGTGGTGAGCAGCCTGCAGGGCGGTCAGTGGAGTCACGCAGGAGTCGAACGGTACAGGTCGTCAGCCCCCACCCACCCCGGCCCAGCGCCAGGAGGGGGAGTCGACAAGCTGAAAGCGCTTAATTAAAATGCAAATGGTGGCGCTCATGTCCTCGCTTTGCTTTGTTAGCCTTCGAGAAGGAAATTCCACCGCTGTGAGTGCTGCTACTGGGAAACTGTTCCAGCTTTTTCACAGTCATGTCCACACACACACACACACACACACACACACACAGACTAATGCAGAGGTGTTCTAAGCCTATGTTCTAAAAATAAACTCATGCCATTACTTGCTCACAGTGAGGCTCCTCCAGAAGTTGGTCAATATTTAATCTGTGTTCTCTCCTTGATGTGCCGGTCAGCTGGGTGGGAAATGGAGAAAAGCCACGGTTTCTCTTCTCGGCTGTTAAATATTACGAGTGGCTGATGTGCTCTTACAGCTGGTTTGTTAATATTAATAACGCCTTCTTTTTTTTTTCAATCTGTGTCTGAGCAAAGCAGCTGCAAAAACCTAACGTCTCAACTAGAATTTAAAAGCCTTCTTAAAAGTTTTATTTTTACATTTATTTAAAAGTTTAATGACCCCAACATTTTCTCTTTAATACAAGCCATCCTGCAAGATCAGAATTAGTTTGCATCAATTGTTTTGGAATTTCTCTGCAGTAATCCAGCCTAATCTGCTGTGATTCTGCATCGTTTCCACCGTTAGATCACGTTTTTACAAACCTGATCTAAAGTGCAAATGATCATCATTTATTTTTTTAATTTTGGGATTAATTTTTAATGAATTAAAAATATGAACTACAAAAAGAAATTACAATGCATTAAAATTTATTGTTTTCTGCAAAAGATGGAAACACCACTTGTCCATATACAAACACAGAGCAGCACTTCTGTAGCTTTGAATAATTAGGAATTAGGTTATATTGCCTTCACATTTCAGTAACGTCATTCAAGCCTGTGAATTTAAAGGACCCTCAACAACATATCGTTGATTTGTCACTGAGTTTGGAATCTTTGCACAGTAAGAAACAGTGTGCGATATGAATCAAATTGATCTGTTAAATTCAATTTTGGCTCTAAATGATCACAAAAACTGCATTTGTCAAAAAACTGTAATATGATTTTATCACATTCTGCTTTGCAAGCATGCTCTTATTTCTTCCCACCTTCTGAATGATGCACTCTTCCTCCTCTTCTGTAAGCTTTTCAGGAATGCTGGCAGAATAAAGGCAAAACACTCAGTCAACATAGGACTCATACTCTTTCCATCCATGATGCAGCATCTAACAATAATCTCCCATTCAGCTTATTCCTAAAACCCAATACTGCTGAAAATATATTTTTATGTCCACTGGCTCCGTGCTTGGACATCCAGACTTCCGAAGGAGCGCTTTCAGATTTTGAAGCAGAACTGATTCAACACGTTGAAGGTTAAATATACTGTAATTAGCTTGTGTCATTAACCAATATTTGAATGTTACACAATACATTTTTTGTTTCTTTGCCTAAATAGACCTGATGTTAGACCTTTTTACAGCAGATATTGATCGTAGCGTGAGAAACTCACATTTGAATAGGAGAACTTCTGCTATCAACACGTTTTTATTGTTAAGACAGCGTATTGGTGATTGAAGTGTATAGTTCTGACACATGTAAGGATGTAAGAACTTGATGTGAACTTAGATCATAGTAAACAGTCTAGTGTGCCCTGCTGTGTGATGGTTTCTGTTTGTATCAGAGGAGTCACTTGGTGCTTTTACTTTGACAAGCCGCTCAACATTATTCCTGGAGTGTTTCGGGCTAAAAGTCCAGAATAAATCCAGTGTGTTTCACTACCCAAAGAGTAACTGTAATGATTAATAACCAAAACATGATTAGGGCAGCCCGTTTGTTCCACTGGGATCTTCTCTCTCTGGCCTCTCTTCTCCTTCCTCCTCCCTCTCCATCATTCCAAAGCTTTTTAAATCTATGTGACTCAGAACAAACGTCAGTTTTACCAGCAGATGTGCAATCTGGCTTTACGAGCACAGAAACTTTCTCTTTCATTAGCCTCAGCGCCGCGCCGTCCTTCTCTGGTGGTGACAGAGATGGAAGTAGGAGGAGAAGAAAGGAGACAAGAAGGGGGAGATCACAGAGCCCAATGACAAGGATGTGGCTGGTTCTGAACAAGGGTGATGTCATGCTCCATGGCTTTGCTGCAGGGGGAGGATTGACTGGTGTAGGTTTAGAGGCAGCGTGCTGATTAGAGTGGGAAGAGAGCGGGTCATACAGGAAACTGAGATGTTTCTAACATAACAAAATATTTCTCTTAATTTTTAAAAGAGGACTTTAATCTTTGCTGATATTTTAGAGGCAAAATGTTTCCTAATTAACGTTACATCAATCCAGCCATCCTCTCTTCTCATTTTTTTGTTTTTTCACTTTTGTGTTTATTGAAATTTTTAGTTTGTTTGTTAAAAACATATTTAATAATTTTCTTACATGGAAGAATAAATTCCTGAAAAAAGTAACCAGAAAGTTCCTAGTTTGTTTTTAAACATAACAATCTGCTCTAACGGAATATATTTTCCACACCACAAGTAAAACTGAGGTGAAGAGCAAGTAAAATTGAGCTATTTCCCCCAAAGCTGTGGTCTGATATTTCCCTGCCACATTTCCAGTTCTTCAGGCCTTATTTTGAACTTCTAAAAGGACATCACTGCCCCCTTTTGGTGAATGACAGTTTTACACATCTCATTATGTAGTCTGACATCAGTGATGATTCCAGACCTCCAAACATCACTCACCTGTTTTCCCTTCATCCCTCTGTGGCTCACAAAGTGATGATTTTAACAGATGAGGAATATGCAGACAGCATCTATACAAATAAATGTTAGACTGAAACTTTCTCATTGATCCTTGATTGATGCTAAAAGGTTGAACATGAAAGCAAAATCACAGACTTCACTCTTCTCTCTCTTTTTTCACTCATCTAAGCTTCCTGCTGACTGAAGGATGGAAATATTAGCGAACGGCTAGCTGAAAAAGAGCTTCCTGTGACTCTTTTAGAAATCTACTCTTTGTTATTTGCTATCAAAGTGATTGTTGCTAAAATACAAATCTGTGTTCTGCCGCTGCTACAGAACCGCCAGCTGCTGAAGGACAGTTTCATGGTGGAGCTGGTGGAGGGAGCCAGGAAGCTGCGACACGTCTTCCTCTTTACCGACCTGCTGCTCTGCGCCAAGCTGAAGAAACAGATAGGAGGGTAAAACAACCTATTTTAACTATCCCATTCTCATGAAATTAAAATAATCCAGTAACAATGATGAAATATGTTAGTGCCTGCTGATATTTTCAATTCTGTCCACGGCATCCTTCCCAAAAACTGAACAAAAACAGAGTAAATAATACAAGGGTCAACAATGGAAACTCTTTTCAAAAAGGAGAAGTTTGAGGGACCAAATCAATTCCAGAACAGATTAGGAAAAAAAAAATTGTCGGCTTTAACAATATCTCAAGCTGCCTTTTTCAATTAATAACTCAATATTACAGTGAAATGTGTTATAAAATTACTGTGTATGCCTTGTCTTTGCTCGTCACCTAGAATCTTCTGGTTCTAATTCGTAACTGGCAACTGGCATACAACTCCTGAATAGGAAATGGGGGAGTGGCTAAGAGTGGACTCTTTTTTTTTAAATGGACTGTAGTACCCATAAATGACCACAAGATGTCATTCTGGAATTATGCACCTTTAAAGAGAGTTTTCCGTTCCACTGTTTGCCCTCAAACTGTGCTTGCTCAGGAGGGGGGATTGGATACATCGGCTGCTGCTCTGATTTAGGGCAAATCTCACTCTGATGTCTCTCATTCTGATCTCATTGTAGTAAAAACCAGCAGTACGACTGTAAGTGGTACATCCCCCTGACTGAGCTGACCTTCCAGGGGCCCGAGGAGACAGAGCCTCTTACTATCCCCCAAGTCCCCGACGAGGAGCTAGATGCCATTAAGGTTAAGATCTCCCACCTTCGCAGTGAGATTCAGAGAGAGAAGGTAAAGCAGACATTCACCTTTCTCAGCCTACATATATATATCGCTATATTTAGCGATATTGTAACTTGCTGTTAAGAGTATTCAACTCTGGGATTTCAGAAAGCCAATAAGGGTTCAAAAGCGATTGATCGCCTCCGTAAGAAGCTGTATGAGCAGGAGTCTCTGCTGCTGCTGACGTGTCCGAGCATGCCCCTCAGACTCTTCAACAGGAACAGCAAGGTGATCACCCTTTTACAAAATATCCCATCTATTCTTTTTACTTTTTTCTGTAACGAGTCCCATAATCTTCTGTCTACTTCTCCCATCCACGTTTCATTTGTTCTTCTCATTTATCTGATTTTTTTTTGTCCTTTGTGTCCTTCCCTGTATCACAACACCATCATCTGTTAAATCTGACAACATGTTATCCTCCTGTTATGTGTTTCAGAGCTACAGCTTCCTGATTTCGTCTGACTATGAACGCTCAGACTGGAGGGAAATAATCAAGGAGCAGCAGAAAAAATGTGAGTGTCTCAGAGATGTCCTTCATGGACACAACCTGTCTGTCCAATTAAAATTACATTACTAATTTACTCATCTTACATGCACTGGAAACAATATGATTGGAATTGTCTAGCGTGTGTTAAATACTGCATATTCTTGTGGTAAACGTGCTTTTTTAAGGTCTAACTTTTGATTTTACCCTCAAGGTGTTAAAACGCCCTCCCTGACCTCCATGGAGCTGCAGATGTTGACCAGTTCTTGTCTCAAACTCCAAACCGTACATCACATTCCACTTAGTTTCAATAATGAAGGTTGGCTTCTGTTTTTCTACTTAAAAGCATTTTTTGTATTTTGATTATGCCCACCCCACCCCCCCCCCCCCCCCCCCCCCAGTGAAATCTTTTTGGCCAGTTTGCTACCTGTTAAGAACCCTGCAGTAAGGACCCTGCCTGTTGGTAAAAAGTTTAGTGGCTAAATCCAAGTTTTATTTTGAGTGACATCACCCACAGGTAAGGTACTGTAGACAAATAACCAGCAAAACATGCCTAATCTATAATAATGTCCCTTTAAGTTGTCTTTTTCAAAATGATTAATGGTATTCCACAGCAAGTTTGTTATAATGTACAAAATATCTATAGAAAGATTCAACATATAAATGTAAAAATACATTTTAGCCAAAAATTCTTTGTCTTCCTGTCTGATTCAGCTCCTAAACAAACTTACATGCTTTTCTAATTTGTCCTTTTCTAATCATTTTTCCTCCCACCCCTGTCTGCTCGCTGACCCTTTTTCCAGAGGATGAATCCTCTGGTCTCTACGGGTTCCTGAATGTAATCGTCCACTCTGCCTCCGGCCTCAAACAGAGCTTAAGTGAGTCACACAGATAAGAGCGAACCAGGAAAATAATGAGCTACTAAGAAAACAAACTTTAACAGAGCTGTGAGGAGTATTTTTTGAGTTTATTGTTATAACTTTAATACTTAGAGTCTTTAAACCAAACATTCACTGTTTAGTGATTATCAAACACTTCTTAGAAAAGTAATTTATTTTTTTTCTCACTGTCAGATCTCTATTGCACATTGGAGGTGGACTCTTTTGGTCTCTTTTCAAATAAAGCCAAGACAAGGGTGTATCGATACACCACCGAACCCAAATGGAACGAGGTAAAAGATGCAAACAATACTTATTCTTTAAGAAAACTCCTTTCTCGCACGTATTCAGTCCCAATTTGCTCACCGTGCTTCCACACAACTTCATGAGGACATATGGAATGGAAAACACCACTTATCGCTTTTGACATCCCTTCCTTTACAGCACAATTTATGCTGCTTGTCATGTGTTTGACATCTGCTCTTCCATTCAGCCAGCTGTCCTTTTTCTGAGGACAGAAATATGTTGGAAAAAACCAACAAACCTGCAGCCCCTGCAAAGATCCTGCAACATCACGAAGAGCAAATGCACGAAAGAGAACAGCTTTAACACTCTGTCAGATTGTTTTTTTTTTGACAGGATCCCTTTTGAGAACTCTGCTTAGCAAAGTGGAAATAATATAAACTAATGAGAAGCTGCAGCATGCAGTGACTCACATCTGTGCAAAAGCTAAATGAACCAGCATGATGTGGGTCTCAAAACAACGTGCCAGTCATATGTAGAGCGTCTCCTTATATAATATTAGGGATTGTTAGTCAGATGGAACAGTTTCTGTCAGATCTCCTTCTTTTCTATTACGTTAATGAAATAATGATTTCACGTTCGCTTCCTTTTATGCGCACCCTCCTCTCTGCAGGAGTTTGAGATCGAGCTGGAGGGCTCTCAGACCCTGAGGTTGCTCTGCTACGAGAAGAGTTACAACAGAACCAAGCAGAACAAAGACGACGGAGAGAACACAGACCGCATCATGGGGAAAGGACAGATCCCGGTATGGCATGACGTCACCCCAAATCAGCAGACCCATCCTGACTCGTCGATAAGAACGTGTAACGCTGTGTCTCACACAGAATGCGCCTGATTTTTCCAAGAATGGTTGAAATTTGTATGTAGGGGAAGATAATTAGCTTGTTGTCTGAACAGGTAGCAGGTGAGTCAGTGGAATGAAGAACGTCACATCAGTACTAAAATAAAAAACAAAAGATTGTGATGTTTCAGTCAATTTGCCAAATATTTACACTTGATTATTTTTGATGGAACGATGCAAAGCAGTGGTTTTCTTGTAATCGAGCTGACAGGTCTATCGTTTGAATCAGTCATCACAATCACCCTTGACTAGAAATGACAGCGGTGCTCTTTTGTTCATAAAATGCTCCAAGTCCTGACGCTATCCAGAAGTCTGACTGTAACTGATCTGATGCTGATGGCAAATTTTAAGGTACAGTGATTAGGTTGCCAAGGCAACACCGAGCTGAAATCCTTGAGGTATATAAACAAAATCTTTTTTTATTAAGAGAAAAAGCAAATCTTTTCTTTTACTTCTTGCGTGCGTGCTTGTGTGTGGTTGTGTGAGTGTGTGTGTGCATGCAGGTGTGTGTGTGTGTGCGCGCGTGCGTGCAGGTGGGCATGTGTGTTCATTCTGAGCTATTTTCTGTTGGCTTTAGTCAAACATCTGTAGACAAACTTACAGCCACAAGCTCCATCTAGTGGCTCCTCCCTGCAAACCTGAGACATGATCCTTTTTTGATGGATGATGTCATTGGAAAAAAACAAGCAGCCAGACTAATGCAAATGTTGCTCAGCTGGATTTTCACTCATTTGAGCAGAGAGGTTGTCTGATTAGTCCCAGATTTTCTCTCCAATCCGTTGATTGTCCTTTTTTTTAATGAAGGATGGACTGAACATAAATAATCTATACAAAAATTAAAAATACCACCAGTAGCCTTTCAAGAGTTTGAAGCTGATATTATTCAAGTTTACAAAAAGTAGCTCAGTTGTTTTCGTCAAATCTAGGTAAAAAAAATATTTATCACAGTCTAACTCAATAAAGCAAATTTTTGGGTAATCTGTCTGGATTATGTATTGTGCTGACTCCCAGCTACTAGTACCACACCTACATTTAGCTCTATCTGTAAATCTGCCCCATGTTTTAACCTTTTCTGTGCATGCTGTTGTTTAGCTGTGGCAGGCATCTTGAATGGGCTTGACTAAAAGTTAGCTGTAGATGTACGTTCAATGATGCAAGAGGTTTTTTGCTAACAGGCAGCAAACGGATGCATTAATACCTTTTAACCTTTGAGCTAATGTCTTAAACATGAAACTGCAGTAGTTTATGAAGATGTGGGATGATCTAATTATTCTACATGTCATGAAAGACCTCTGAATAGCCACAAAACAACCTTTGATTTTTTTTCTTTAAAAAATGTTTCTTGCCAATAATATGGCTGCTTGAACTAAGCAATGTCTTCCTCTAAAATCCAGAGAAAGTGGAAATATTCTCGTATATTGCATTTTTTACAGTTAAAGTTATTTAAATAAATACTTTATGTTCTTACGAATTTAGAAATTGAAAACAGAAAATAAAGAGCCTGATGAGAACATTATCTGTATTAGTTTACATGATAGTTTTCAAACTTTGGACCAATAAAAGTTTCATGTTTGATGCTTGATGCTTCCTTCAGCTCGACCTTCAGGCTCTTCAAGGCAAAGACTGGCAGAGGACGGTTATTCCCATGAACGGGGTGAGTGTGATCGATTATTCAAACAAAATTATTATTTATCATCACTTCCTCTGTGCTGGGTATTTAGTATTTTCTTGAAATCTGCATATTTTTAAATATCCTATTTCTTTAAAGAGCAAGTTACCCCACAATCAACCTTTTTTGCTGATAAACTGTCTAATTGTGCTGTAGACACGTGTAGTCAATAATTTGGCACTTTAGTGCATCTTTGTTCTAATTGAAATATTCTGCCTAAAACTATTAAGCCTGGGGCACACCGGAGGAGCCGCGCCTGCGCCGTCATTTTAAATAAAAGCCATTATAGTTAATAAGAGTGGGCACACTGGGAGCGCTGCGCCACGTCCCAGAAGCGCCATGTCAAGATGGGAGCCAGTTGTACCTCTGCCGCCGTGGCTGTTTACAACATTTTGGAGTACTTTATAATATTACGACGCGGAACAGCTTTACGGCACAAACCCAACCACAGTTTTGATAACGTTAAAGTTCTATTGAGCTTAAAATTTTCTAATGAATAGCGTACTTACCCATTTTTAATTAATTTTGAGTCTCATAAAACATGACAGCGAGTCTAATCACGTATAAACAATAGAGTCACTTCCCGCTTTCTGTTCTCAAATCCCACGTGATGTTGTGACGTTCCAAGAAGCACTCAGCATTATGGCACGTCCTGTGTGACCACTTCTTAAAATCTCAGATGTGCTGCATCGTGCCCGCCATCGGTGTACCCCAGGCTTCAGTGTTGTGCCCTCTCTAGGAAAAATCTCTGAACTGCATTTAAATTTAAATCTAAAGAGGTACACTATGATGTTAGCTGGTACATTATGATGTCACAATGTTGTTGTGAGCCTATGTGTGTGTATTTTTCAGCGGCACCGCCCTCTCATTCTGCCAGGCTACAGCATTTGTTGCATTTTTCAAACAGGAAGTGAGAGTGGAGTAAGACTGATAGGGGGTGACTTGCTCTTTAAATTGTGATAGAAATCAATTTTTTGACCATTTTTCAGTAGTTTGAACAATTACATTTTATTTATTTATTTATTTATTACTTTTTATTTCCTTGTCAGATTGAAGTGAAACTATCCATAAAGTTCACCACCAGAGAGTTCAGTCTGAAGAGAATGCCTTCGGAGAAACCCTTGGGTGTGTTTGGAATCAAGATCTCCACGGTGACCAAGTGAGTCGACATTTAAATTAAGAAAAGCACATATAATATGGCTTTTGATAATTACAACCAACATTGATGAGGATTATCATCATGGTCATCAGGTAATTTTACAATAAAAAACTGCCCATGTGTTAATAGTCTGTGATTTATTTTGTCTTCATCCAGACGAGAACGCTCTAAGGTGCCATACATCGTCCGTCAGTGCCTAGAGGAGATAGAGAGGAGAGGCATGGAGGAGGTGGGAATATACCGTGTGTCGGGAGTCGCTACTGATATTCAGGCCCTGAAGACGGCATTTGACACCAGTGAGTTCTGACCATACATTGTATATAATATGGACGGAGACTCCATAACAAGAGGTTTCTGAAGAGCTGAACTGATGACTAATGGGCGGTGCCAACCTCCGCCATCTTGGTCGCGTCATGTTCCTCCCGGAAAATATAAAAACGTAGCTGAGAGTGGAGCTGTGAAGGTTGGGGTGGATGACTGATACCCATCAAACTCTGATTTGATGTAGCTACAAACTAACTAAGCTAACTGACGCTAACCGAGTTTGGCGAGTGTTTTAAGCCAAAAAAAAAAAACGTGGTTGAGCGACGCTACAACCCTCTGCCTTCTGTAACGCTTTTATTGTGGGACCAAGGCTGAGGCCTTCCCTGGAGTAATCGGGGGCAGGCTGCTAGCACTAGCGCTGACAGCTCATCTGCTACATATCAGTCAAAAGGACACGCCCATAAGTATTCATACTTTCTATTTCTAAGTGCATCTAAACAGATATGTTGGAAAAAAAATTCACCCCCCCCTCAGAGTTGTCATTGCAGTAAACCTGACCTAGTAAACCCAAATGTTTTCTGACACGAGCAAGACCTGCCCAACAACCACCCCAAGTTTATTTCTGGAAACTGCGACTTTAGTCAATTCCACCTGGCTTCACCCTTTGCAAGGCTGAGCCCCCCACCCCCCCAAGATCCCCTGGTTCTGCAGGCTGAGCCCCCCACCCCCCACCCCCGGTTCTGATAATCATGTGCTTATGTCCATTTAACAGCTTAAATATTTTATTGTATGTGTTAAGTGACAATTAAATTATGCTTTGTGATGTGGGTGTGGTCCTGATAACGTATTGACGATCATAAGACATGAAATCATGGCACCAAAGCTTTCGTCTTCCTCCTCCAGATAACAAAGATGTGTCCGTGATGATGAGTGAGATGGACGTCAATGCCATCGCCGGCACCCTGAAGCTGTATTTCAGAGAACTGCCTGAGCCTCTGTTCACCGATGAGCTCTACCCTAATTTTGCTGGTGGCATCAGTAAGACACATCATTAATCTCATAACCGATTCAATTATCAGATGACTAACAGTTCAAACCGAGGTCTTTGGGTGCTAAAGGAACAAGAGAACAGTCTGATTGGTGTTGTCTTCTTCTGCAGCCCTCACTGACAGTGTTGCCAAAGAGAGCTGCATGTTGAACTTGCTGCTGTCGCTGCCAGAACCCAATCTGGTCACATTCCTTTTCCTTCTGGATCACCTGAAACGGTATGAATTTGTACACAAGACAAAACAACAACTGTATTTAGTAGCTGATTCAGTAACATGAGAGCTACAGACGGACCAACAGATCAGAGTTTCCTCTGCAGTGATGAGGCTCTGGACCTCCGTGTAAGCAACATAAAGGAAATGAGTGTACTACTGTTTGTGTCAGGCAGACTCTACAGAATTAAGAATTTATTTATTAAGATTCCTCCTATCAAATTATCGGATTGTTGCCTGGTTGGATTACGGAGCACAAAAAATTGACTAAAAGCATTCATGTGTTTTTGAAGGAAATTATTAAATGGCATTATAACTTCTCCTAAACAGATGTACAGTAGTAATCTAATGTAATACCTCTATTGTAATTAACATGCCTGTGTAATGAATTTCAGTGCAATTCTAAAATAATCAGATTCAAATCTCTACTCTCAGATTCAGAGGATTTCTAATGACGTTCAAATAATGACGGTTGAAACGTGTTAAAAGACGAGCTGAGCCAAAAGGCACGATTTACTGGTCCGTCTACATCCCAACCCTCACCAGGAGTCATGAAATATGTATTATGACTAAAAGAACAAGATCCCAGATTAAAGCAGCTGAAATGATCTGTAGTGTGCCAAGCTGAGACCCCATGAGCTGGGCTAGAGCCACTGCTCCTCATCATGAAAAGGAGTTTGTTGAGGTGGTTTAAAGAGCATCTTTAATGTTCTTTAAAATGGTAGAAAAACATAATCTAAGATCGAAAGGTTACTTTGGTTATCCTCCAGGTTTTCAGATGACTAGCCGGTGTTTAAAAATACTAAATCAAGAGAAGTGGGCAGGCTTCCCTAAAAAACAAAATCAATACGCACATCAAAGAAAACTTAGAGGAAAACATGCATGACCCCGGTTATTTTTAGTTGCTAAGGTAACACCGATTCTGTTAGTTTAACGATGGTTAATGTCTGTGTACGTTGGGGTTTTACAAACTCCTGTTTGTCTGGACGTCGTGTTCCACAACAGGCAATGAATATGAGAAGCACAGAGATCAGATTATATAAACATAGAGGTGACATAGGCTGGTGTAACTGCAGACTGCCATGTTGCATGGGTCACCAGTCACCCCCAGTGCATTCCTTAAATTAGAAAAGTCAATAGTAATCCCACATAATCTGCTTTCAATAGTACACTGGTTGTTGGAACCATAGAATGCACAAAAACAGGCATAGTTGCTCACTCAGCGTTGACTCCGATTAGGTTTTGGAGAGTGAGGGACCCATCCAATATGGCGACGAAGTGGTTACACTTCAGAGCTCAATGTCGCCTCTATGAACTTTGTTTTCGTTTCATCTCGTTACCACCGGTTGTGGCAACTAGCTGCTGTTTGTTTCATAAAAACAGTACATTCATACTAATTTCAAAAGTACATTTCTTCTTCTAAAGAAGACCCGCTTTTTATTCTGATCACTGTTTGAATGTGGGAAAGTAGTAATGTGGCTCTCGTGATTGTTTTAGACCAATGCCGTGCTCTCATTTAGCAAACAGGAAACATAGTGGTGTACTTGGAGACAGAAAATAGAAGTGATTATGATTTAATTACCTTAGAAACTCATAAATTAGAGAACAAAAGTTGTTTTTATGGAAACATCTTTGTTTAAAAGTGCTTTTCAGTCCATCGGTCCCAGTGTGCTCTCTATAATTAATGCTTCTCTGGTTTCTGGTCAGGTCCCTGCTTACTTTAAGAACGCTGTAATCCACCCGCTTCTTAAAAAAATGAGTCTTGACCGCTCTCTCCATAGCAGCTTCAGACCCATCTCTAAACTTCCGTTCATCTCCAAGATCTTGGAAAAGGTTGTGGCTAAACAACTCACAGCTGCTCTTGATCAACATAACATCTGTGATAGATTCCAGACAGGTTTTTGTAGAGCTCATTCTACTGAAACAGCTCTTCTTAGGGTCTCTAATGACCTTCTGACTCACAGTGATGCAGGGGACTGTTCTGTTCTGGTCCTGCTGGACCTGACTGCAGCCTTTGACACTGTTGATCATCACCTGCTACTGGAGAGGCTGAGAGACTAGGTAGGCCTATCAGGATCTGCTCTGGAGTGGTTCTCCTCATCTTTCTGAGCGCTCCTTTTCTGTGGCTGTCTCCAAGTTTAGGTCCTCCACTACCTCTCTTACCCATGGTGTCCCACAAGGTTCTGTGCTGGGGCCTCTACTCTTCCTCATCTATCTGCTTCCTCTTCAGCACATCCTGAGCTCCTTCAAAGGAATCTCATACCATCTTTACGCAGATGACATCCAACTGTACATCTCATTTAAGCCCCATGAGATGTCTAAGCTGCAGCTGTTACACACCTGCTTAGACTCTATTAAAACCTGGATGGCTGGGAGCTTTCTGCAGCTGAATGAAGATAAGACTGAGATCCTCATCTGTGCCCCAGACAAGCTGGTTCCCAAAGTCGGAGACTCTCTTGGTCAGCTTGCTTCTCACACCAAACCTTCTGTCAGGAATCTTGGTGTAACCTTTGACCCAGCTCTCACCCTGGATTCCCATGTCAGTTCTCTTGTTCGCTCTTCCTTCTTCCATCTTCAGGAACATTGCTAAGCTGAGTCCCATTCTGTCCCGCTCTGAACTTGAGACAGTTATCCACACCTTCATCTCCTCACGCTTAGACTACTGTAACTCTCTTTTCACGTGTCTGAGCAGAACCTCCCTGAACCGTCTACAGGTGGTTCAGAATGCCTGTGCTCGGCTTCTGACCAAGTCCTCCAAACACACCCACATCACCCCGCTTCTCCTCCAGCTTCACTGGCTGCCAGTCAACTTCAGGGTTCATTTCAAGGTCCTGGTTCTGGTCTATGGGGCCTTACATGGACAAGCACCATCTTACATTGGTGATCTTCTTAGTCCCTACACCCCCAGCAGGTCCCTGAGGTCCAGTGATCTTAGCCTACTGGTTGTGCAGCACCAGGCTAAAGACCAAAGGTGACAGATCATTTGCTGCTGTGGCCCCCAGACTCTGGACCTCTCTCCCCCTGAGCCTGAGATCAGTGGACTCAGTGGTCTCCTTTAAAAAGCAGCTGAAGACTCACCTGTTCAAAGTGGCTTTTGTGTGATCTTCTTCACCACTCTCTTTATTCTGCTCTCCCCACCTATTCCACCTTCCTCAGGATCCACTGATTTCCCTCTTATCTATTCACTCTATCTCTTTCTTTGCATGTTTTAACCACAATTGACTATTTTTTGCTCATTTTAAATATATTTTAACCATTTTCTAAATTCTTTTTTATACTTTTTACATTTTTTGTTTTTGTAAAGTGCTTCGTGATTTTTATCTTGAGAGGCGCTATAGAAATGATATTTTCTTCTTCTTCTTCTTGATGTAATATGTCAGGGGACAAGTTTCTGTAGAGATATATTTAAATAAAAATGCTCTTACCAGTTAGTGTTTCCTAGTCTGTATGCTTTTTGAAGTTCCCACGCTTCAGCAGCTCTTCTTTCACCATTTAAATTATCCCTGTTTAGCCTGATCCCATCAAATATTGCTGATGGCGCAAAACCGTATGGCCGTGCACCTTCAGTAGTTACCATAACTTTGTATTCGTATTCAGAATCTGGAGCTTTGAGCTGCTGCAAATCCTTTTTTTTTCTGAGCAGAGTCAGGAACGTTTTCCTTGAGCAACGTCACTTCCGCTTTCCAGCAAAAGGCTGTTTTTAGACAGTTGAGCTCAGAGAACCTAATTGGAACTGTAGTAGGAGCTTTTGTTTTTCTTATTCCCTCTATTTTTAATGAAAATATAAAGTTTAGACCTGTTATATATATATATATATATAAGGACAATTTAACCCCAGTTCACACTGAATTTTTCAGCCATTGCAAAGGACTGCTTCATGTCACACAAGCCCTAGATTTCAGTGAGCTCAACTGAAGGGAGTCTTGCTCTAGCACGACATGCAGGGGCAGACTGGCCATAGGCGGGTTCAGGAGAAACCCAGAAAGGCTGGGGGTTGGAGCATTCCTTCAGTGTGATTTAGAAAAGGTCAGAAAAAAGCTAAACCTACTCACGTAAAAGATAACAAATTTTGAAAGAAAAAACTAAGAATTTGGGTTACAATGATGTGAAGGTGAAAAAAGGTTTTGATTAGTGACACTAAGGACCAGGGGTCTCATTTATCAAACATTGCGTAGAATCCTTACTAAAACCGTGCTTAAGCTCAGCAAAATAAATGTACTTACGCCAAGTAGGTTTGTGATCTATCAAACATGGAGTACGCACAGCTGCACGCAACCTCCGCTTCATAAATCAGAAACTATCTAGAAAGGTTCTCAGCTGCATTTTAGTCACATCCCGCCCTCACCACGCCCACTTACTGCCATAAATAGTCAATGCAAAGTGCCTTGTGGATCTCATGCATATACATAAGCCGGCTGTTGCAGCGCTCCGCCAATGACATGGCGACCGTAGATCAAGGCAGATCAAGGAAGTGCTATTTTACAGAAGCAGAAATTAAGGTACCTGTGGGTGAGGTGGAGAAATGAAAGGAAGTGCTTTTGCAAAACAAATAATGAAAATCCACAGAGTGGTACAGCGTTGCTGAAGCCGTCAATGTTGTGAATTCTTCAGAGAGATCTGTGGTGGATATAAAAAAATAGCCAGAGTGGGATTCGATCCCCAGACTGCCGAGTGAAATTCACGCGAGCTAACCAGTCACCCAAAAGGAGATCTCCCTTGACTAAGTAGCCAGGGCGCATGATCAATCGGGTCACAGTGACAGGACGCTCAAACTGTCACAGACACATGACATTCTGTCTCAATCTGTCCCCCTGCTGATATTCTGCATTCCGTATTCTGAGCTTCAGGCTGTGTGTGTGTGTGCGTGCGAGTGTGTGAGTGTACGCGTGTGTGTGGGTGTGTGAATGTGGGGGGTCTTGTTCTGTGTGAAGACGAAGCGGTACAAGTGATGATGCTGCAGGAGTTCCATCATTTTATCCTTCTCAACAGCAGCACTGCAGGTGCTCTCCATGTCCAAAATGTGCGTAAGCAAGATCCTTAGTCATCTTAAAGTTGCGCACATTTTTCCACCAAGTTTTCTTTCATAAATCCCAAAGTTTGTGTGGAAAGTTGCTTACGCAGTTTTCTGACCCCGTTTTGTGTGTAAGCAAGCTTGATAAATGAGGCCCCTGGAATTAGATGTTTCTCCACTTATTCCGAACTTGTGAAAGTACAAAAACGATGAACTAATCATCAGGTCTTTAAGTGTGTATAAAAATTAGACTTCTCATTGTGATGTCATCTGGGAATTGGACACAGAGGCTAAAGACTGAGATGTGAAAAATTAATTATTTCTGTGGCTTATTTAATTATGGAATCATTCCCAAAATGACCACCAGCACACCGACCACTAATGGACTTGTTTGTCTTCATCTCCCTAGGGTGGCAGAGAAGGAAAGTGTCAACAAGATGTCTCTCCACAATCTAGCAACTGTGTTTGGTCCCACTTTGCTGAGACCAGCAGAGAAGGACAGCAAGATCCCCTCCAACCCCACACAACCCATCAGCATGGGGGACAGCTGGTCCCTGGAGGTTATGGCACAAGTGAGCCGAACACACCACACCGTCCCTACTGTCCACTGGTGAGCATGGACCTTATAATGTCCTGCTTTCTTCTCCTGTCCCTTCAGGTCCAGGTGTTGCTGTATTTCCTGCAGCTGGAGACGATCCCCACCCCAGACAGTAAACGACAGAGCATCCTCTTCTCCACTGAAGTGTAAAGATTACACAGAGACCCGGGTGTGAAGCGGACATGGACGCTTGGCTCAAAGTGAGCCTATTGTAGTTTGTTTTTGAATTGACTTGGAAGGATTGTCTGTGGTGACTCTCGAGCACAAGAGGGCGCCACTTGCAGCTGAAGCTCAGAGGACTGGAAGTCACTGCTATTCATATCATGTCACCTTAATCTGGTAGTTAATACGTTTCCTTACCGGTAGTTAATACGTTTCCTTACCTACAGTGATTTAACGGGTACGGCTGCCATCTAATCTGCCACCCCTTTTTTTACTTTTACAGCCGTCGTTCATAAATGTACCTTTCAAATTTGGTTTCCCAACCTGCATTTCATTTAGACAATCATTACGTCTTGCAAAATGTCTTTCTCATCTCAAACATAAAATCATTCCAAAGCATATTTATTTGCCGTCAGTCTGCCACCATCTGGTTGTTTGTTTTCCTGGATTTCAAACAGGAACACCTGTGATATTGTTTACAACGTAAACAAATCCGGTTAGAGGGAAAAACTATAACTTGAAGTTGTTTTAAAGAAATAGGAACCACATTATCTTTCTTGTTTCAACCAGAAAACCGTGTTTCTGTAATTTGTGGTCGTTTTTAGCTTAGAAACCCAGAAGCAATATATTTTCTAACCTGGAAACAGTCTGTCTTCATATCTCTGCTGTTTGTCTTGTTACATAGGACACCTCGCCAAACAATTTATTTCTTTTCTGTTTCTAAGAAACAAAAGAGGCAGTTACATCTGAAGATACAGTACATGTACATAACCCTAAAGTTGTTGTTTTTTTCATTTGTTTCTATATATATATATATTTTATTTATTACAAAGGCCCATTAAAACAAATTGGTGTCTTTTTCGAACGGTTTTATGAAGGTGGTAGATCTTAGCCTTGACTTAAAGTCTTGCAGTCAATTAGCAAGATTTAGCCTTTTTTTTTCTAATAAAACTACTCACCATTCACTCCAGCCTGTCGGTCGTTCATTTAGTGAACCTATTTGAAGGTGGCACGCATTGTAGTTACTTCCTGAATGCTGCTGTGGAAGTAAAGGCACAAGCTTTTTACCTGCTGGGTGTTGCTCGGCAACTCCGTCTCCTGTCCGGAGATGCTCGCCCGTTTAGCGTAGACTTTATGCAATGTTTTAAAATGGAACACGTGTAGGACATCGTGTCTTTTTTGTAACATTGCTTCTGTGGCAGCAGAAGTGCACTCATGCAATATTAAAACTACTGTATTCAAGTGGCCTGAGTATCCTGGAGCATATCTGTTTGTTATACTAAAGAAAAAAGGTCTCTCTCTAAAAAGGCAACCTTTCCCACTGAATAGCCTAACTCCTACTTTTCTGTTGTTGTTTTTTACTGATTTAACATGCAGGCATGTTTAATTATTGTTGTTTCTGTTCTTATATTTGATGCATATTTTCACAGGTTTATCATCATTGTGATGTTGGTCACTTGTGATCTTTTCTTAAATCACTAAAGCATGCGTTTCTCAAGCTAATGATTGGTTTTATGTACACATCGACCACCCGCGGTATTAAAACTTCACTCTTAATATTAAAATAACTTCAAATTATTTGGACCTGAAGTTGGCAGAAAATTCTTCAGGGCCTTCCTGAATTGGTCTTGTTCTGAAAATTTGATCACATCGTAATATTTGGAGTTTGGGTGGCTCTTCCCACTCCTCGATCTCTTTATAGTCTTCTAAAAACCCTTCCTCAGCATATTTTATTATTATTATTATTTTATTATTATTATTATTATTATTATTATTATTATTATTATTATCATTATTATTATTATTATTATTATTATTATTATTATTATTATTATTGGTTGGACAAGAAACGGGATGTGCTGCTTAGAGCACAATCATAAAACTCCTGGGTTTTTCTTACAGCCTGTGATATTGTGACAGGTTGGTGTTATTTAGAGACTTAAAGCTGTAACTGTGGTTCAAATGAAATAAATGATGACTGTTTTTATTCAGACCATAAGTAAAGCATATGAATAAATTGTTGAAGGAAAAGTTCAAAGGGAAGATTAACCCATTACTGTGTGGTTTACTCATTTATTCAATACATTTGAGGTGTTCTCTAGTATAAATCAACGCCTTATGAGTCATTTAGAAAAAGAAAAGCTATGACGCTCCTGTTCTGAGATGCAGAGGTTTGCTGGTGCAGAGGTAGGCTGAAAACAGCAGGATTATTTATTATTATTAAGGATATGCACACACCTCACTTCTGTCTAACGGAACACATTCAGCCATGCTGCAGAGTCACTATCACCAAGACTCTCGGCTCTCTCTCCTCACTGCAAAAAAGCCTTCCTGTGGGCGGGTGAGAGACAAGATGGATGGGGCCATTGTGAGGATTTTCTCAACTGTTACCAACTTACCACAGGCCTAAAAGTAAAAACTAGCAAACTATGCAGTGCTGTTTATAGTAACTTAACATTAGCTGCATTATGCTAACAGATGCTAGTACTAATCTATCTCCACAGCGAGCAGTTAACGTAAATATGGTGCAAGTCATTATCTCATATAAGTGAACCAACACATCTTTACCAAACTCAGAACACAATCTATCATTGAGAAGGAAACGATCAGGCAAAAACAATCTATTTTTGACAGATCATCAATGCTCTTTGACCCTTCACAATTTAATATTGTCCACCCCTACTTCAGAGCAACGCTTTATTGTTTGTCCCAAACCGTCTGAATCTGTTTAACTCACCATAGCATCCTCACACCATTAGCTTTGAGTCCCCAAGCATCAATTCTTTATCCCAAGCCCCAGCTGCCTGTGACCCCTTTGTGCCTCAACACTTGCTTTACTTTTAGCACCTGCAGTACCCTAAAAGCCAATAGAAACCCTCATTCTCCTGTTGCCTTTGCTGAAGACAGCCGCACACCTGCCATCTCTTACAGGCTAAGACAGGACCTTAAATTCAAGCATGGTCTTAGCTCACACTGTACTCAAGCATCCAACTTCCTTCCTTTCAACTGTGAGTTGCTGTAAGTAAATGAAACTGTGCATTGGGCCAGCACACAGTTAAATCTCTTTGTTGCCTTTTATTTTATTTATTTATGGTTTTGTCTAGTTTGGTGCAAGGTGGTCTGCATGATCTATTTATTTACGGTAAAAAGTAATCTAAAGCTAAATTAATGTTAGAAAATTGTCTTTTATAAAATGTGCTTTTTAAAAAAAAACTTAATGTGTTGATCAGCTTCTGTTTATCGAACATGCTGTGTTTCAAAAGTCCTTTTTGTTTCAGTGTCACAACCACTATGTAGCTCTGCACACGTGTTTTTTCACCCTCAGTTCCAGCTCCGTCAGCTCACTTCTTTATGTTGAACAGCAGACTGGCCACTGTGATTGTTTTAGCTGTCTGACATGGATGATCCAAACTGGTAACTCAAACTTAGCCTGTATTGTACATCACAGAGAGCACATCATTGGGTTTCCCTTTTATCCACCTTGGATATGCGCTTACTGACGATTATATCATTTAAGGATCAACCTTCAGTGTATTTGAAAATCTGAACCATTTGTATAGGAGAGATGAGTATTATGACTCTGAAATCGACAGTTTTGGTCTGTTTTTCAGTGTAACTGCATGTACCCTTCATAACCTCAATCCCAGCCAAAAAAAGTGTCATTTTTCTGTGAACTTGCCTAAAAACATGGTACATATTGCTTTATTTGAACATTACAGGTTCCTTGCATTCAACTGTACAGGCCCCTGGTGTTACTTCCCCTAATATAGTTAGTACTTTCACATTAAACGCTCTGCTGCCACTTTTCAGACATTGCTCTATTTGGCTATTTTGGGTAACATGCTACTTTTGTTTTATTTGTTACATAATAAACTAAAGTCCAGGAGGAGATTTGTTGACCAAACAACACTTTCTAATTGATTCCTCAACGTTTTTGATGTTCATGTTCTTGTTAAATATTCAATGTTCTGCCTGTAGAGCTGTAAAAAGGAATTACTGTATTCTGAGGGTAAACATGTTTCAAAGGCATTTGCAGCCGATGTTTGTACACAACAAAGTTAAATAAAATCTCCCGTATCTACATGGAGCTTGTCTGTATTTTTTCCTTTGACTAAACCCTTAACTGTTTGTGTTTGTGGCATGATGAATTCAGCTCAAAATGCAATCCAGATCAGCAGAAGTTAATTTTATTATAATTAAAATAGTGTTAGGGTTAGGTAATACCCTAAGATTTTTGAATGTTTTTTGGTAAATAAACTGTATAGCAATCTCTAGTTTTCTTTAAAAATAGTTAAACACAAACAAAACATTGATGTAATCATTTTTGGAACAAAAGTCTAAAAAAAGACACAGAAACTGTGATGCTATCTTCTGTTGCTGCCTCCCACTGAGGGTTAGTAGCAGCAGCTGATTAAATCAGCATGCATGGACACTTCTTTAGGAGCAGAACCTTATTACATATTAATCAGGGAGAAGAGGTTATTTACAAGTGGGAAAACATCCATGTGAGTTCCCTGTCAGGAATGGGTGGCAGTGAAATTTTACAAAAAAGACCAAAATTGCACTAATCAAGCTCTTCAGGCCTCAATTACCATGTAAATGTTTTTAAAGAAACTGAAAGGAACTGGGCTTCATCTTCAAGAAGTAGTTGAGCTACAGATCAAAGCGCTGAATTCACATTCCAACCCTAACCAATGGTCATGAGAACCTGGATACGATCAGCCGAAATTAACGTCCTAGGTTTTCTGGGCTCAGCCTTGGGGTAAAATGGAGATCTCCGTCCTCCGGGGGGCTAGGAGTAGATTTGCTGCTCCATTGAAACAAAAGGAGTCTTTTATTATGGAAGTCCTTGGGATCCTCCAGGAATATTACTGAATAAATACATTTAGAAAATAAATGATCACATTTTAGCTCTTTGGAACAATTGCCTGTCTTATTGTGATAAGTTTATCTTCAAATATAAAACTGAAGCTGGTGTTGCAATGTTATTTAGGCTTGTGGTTCCCAATCAGGGGGGCCGCGAGCCCCCAAGGGGGTCCCCACAAAATTGTGCTGAGGAAGGTTGACAGTGGCAGAGGAGTTGAGTGCCTGTCTCGTAACCAGAGGGTTGCGGGATCAACATCAGCTACATTGTAGCTCATCACCACCAGCTTGTGAAGGTGTGTGTGAATAACTGGAAGTGCCTTGGGGGGTTGAAG